GTGATCGCCTTATCTCAACCCCCTGCTCTTTGCATCCATTACTTCCCCACCCTCTCTACCCCCCTCCCTCCTCCTTCTTCCCCTCCCTCTTCCCCCCACTCTTCCCCCCTTTCTCCTCCTTCTTCCCCCCCCTGCTCCCCCCTTTCTCCTCCTTCTTCCCCCCTTTCTCCCCCCTTTTCTTCCCCCCTTTTCTCCTCCTTCTCTTCTCCCCTTTTCTCCTTCTTCTCCCCTTTTGTTCCCCCGCTTTCTCCCCTTCCCCTCCTGGCTACTACTGGCGTCTCTGCGCTAGCTTGCACGCGGCTGCATGTGGCAGGAGCTTTTCCTTGTTACCGTTGCAGGCTTTGCAAGTCTTTGGACAGGCGTCTTTGACTCTTGTTACTGGTGGTACACCTGGAGGAAGGGCCTCATCTGGACGGAGATCTAGCAAGCGGCTGTTGCAGCCTTCGGGAGTGCCTCCAGCGACAGAATAGAGAACTTTGCACGTGAACCCCATAGCCTGAACCTGAGGATCGTCTTCGCATGCCGTTGCGGGATCCTCGCTAGCCTCGGCAGCAGCGTCTGCCTCGCGGTGCTGCAGCGGCTTGCTGGTACTGTGGGGCTTCCCCCCCCTTGCGGAATCCTCCTGATCCGTCTCTCCGCCGCTTCTTGTCTGCGTCGCGACGTTCTGGCCTTCGACTTCGCAGTCTCCTCTATCGAACTGACACGCGTCGACGTTGCATGCCTTGTCGCAGTGGCGATTTCCGAGGAACCACAAGGGGCACCCTCGGGAGCACTGTTTGCAGAGACCACACGTCAGTGGACAGGCGAGGGCGAGAGTCGCATCGTGCGGTAAGAAGGTGGGGAGCTCTACTCCTGCGTCGGCTAGCAGGAAGTCGCATTTGAGCATCTTTTTGAGAGCTTCGCATGTCTTTCCCGACTTTTCTTGCACCTCCTGTTGGTCCTCGCATACCATCTCGATGCCGGCTACCAGCGTGACGGGAGGAGCTTGAGGGAGGGTTTGCTCCTCTCCTTGCGCGAGCAGCTCTTTCTGTTCTAGTTCGCTTTTGGCGTCTTCGTCGATGCACTTGAAAACGGCTTGCTGCGTGCTGCGGGGGCCCTCTGTCCCCGCAACGCCCACCTCCCAGCTGTCTGTACACCCCACTGCTGCGTCTACGCGCGCGACTTCGGCTGCGCATGCACCGCCTGTTGCGGCTGCAGTAAGGCCCGTGTTCGCCGCTGCAGTGTTGGGATCTGCCTGCGTTATTCGCCAGACGAGTCGCCGAGTGAGACTGCCGTCGCTCTTGCCACTGGATCCGCTGCTGCTGCTCAGTTGCGGCAGCTCTTGCGCCCACAAGTAGTGAGGCTTGCTGTCGCTGCCGCTGCCTAGACTGTCTTGCACGAAGCGTGGGAGGCTTCCGTGAGGATCCGCTCTGAGGAAGACGCCGTTGAAGGAGGCCGCTTCTCTCGCAAAGCCACTGACGAACACGAAGGGACAGGGATCCAAGGCGCAGCCAGGAAGAAGCAGAGCCGCTTCCTCGTCGCGCTGCAAGACGAGGTCGGGAGGCTCCAGGCTGAACTCGCCTTTGCCTGCGCAAGTCACCGCCAACTGCCGCAGCGCAGAGAAAGGCGAGAAGCGCGTCTCCCCGTCCGCGCAGCTTGCAATCAGCGTCTGACCCTCCGTCATCATCGAAGTCGCAGGCTCCACTCGAACTCCCGGAGGCAGCTGCCCGAGCGCACAGTCTCCTCCGCAGTCTCCAAGATCCTTCTGGCAAGCCTCGTTGTTGCAGGCTTCATCGCAGTGTCTGTTCCCGAGATCTCTCAGCTGGCAGCCGGGAGCGCACTCCGCACAGACGCCACAGGTTCTTGGGCATGCATCACTGACGCGAACTTCTGGAGGGAGATCCTCCGGAAAAATCTGATTGTTCTCCTCCGCCAGCTCCTGCAGACGCCTGTGGCAGCCCATGGCTAGCAGCACTTTGCACTCCACTCCCGTCAGGAGGGGAACGTCTGGGCTGTCTTCGCAGGGTGCTCCTGAGCAGCGATGGAGAGCGCACCCCCTCCGCTGCGACAACGCTGGACAGTCTGCTCCATGCCCAATGCGGGGGGAGAGCACTTGCCGCTCTCGAGCGTGAATGCCTCCCCCGCACTCCTTCGAGCACTCTCCCCACTCACTCCACTCCGAAACTTTGCAGTCGGACCCAAAACAACTAAACTCCGCACACGTCTCGTACTCCTCCAGAGAGTCGCATGCAGCCCCTCCATTCGTGGGGATCTCCACAACCTGTGAGAAAGAAGCAGCAACAGAAGCCGCAGCACCGCACACTACACAGCAGAAATAGCGCAACAGAATACCGCCAGCGTGAAAGAGGGTCGTCGCTCAGTTTCAGACACGCACGCAAAACCGAACACCCACACGGGCAACAACCTCCTCAACAAACGCACACAGAAATGGACCCCAAAATGCCGCCATCCACGCAGCAGAGCCTCCATTTCCACAAGGCATGCAGAAAGAGGAGACGGCTCGATCCGGAAGACTCCGTAGAGGCGCCACCCGCCCTGCCTAAAGAGTCCTACCGACGCCTCTTCCACAGGCTGTGTATTTACCCCTACACTCTCTGCACACAGCAAATGCAGCAGCAAAAGCCACCCCTTCAGACACCCCAACTCTGTGCGTCGCGTGCTCCATTTACCTCTCGAATTCTCTGTCTGTAGCCGCCTCCACAAGTAGCGCTGCAAGAACTCCACTCAGCCCAGCTGCCGAGAATGCAGTCGTTGACACACGCCTTCTCGATAGCGCAGTCTGCCGTCTGCTCAGTCTCTTCGCACGCAGCTCCTCCGAACCGTGCTTCCGAGAGAATGCGACGAGTGCGCAGCAGTTTCCCGACCTCGCAGTCTCCGCGACACTCCCCCCAGTCGGTCCACGGGGTGTACGTACAGTCCACCGGGCAAGGGACGTTGGCGTTGCAGCCCTTCTGCGTTTCTTCCAGGGGAGGACAGGAGAGACGCTCCGCGGGAGAAGGCTCTCGCAGGATTTCTCTGTAGCGACTGCGAGTGGCTGAGCTCCCGTCTGGAGGAGCGCACGGAGAGGAGCAGTCCGTCCACTCACTCCACTCGCTCACAGAACAGCCGAAGGCGCATGCATGCAGATTGCAAGCCTCACTCTCCTGTCGACTGCCCGCACAAGGCATGCCACCCCCCACTTCGAAGGCTTGGACCCCGCGAAAACGCTCCCGCGTGCCTCCGCCACACAGCGCAGAGCACGCACTCCACTCAGTCCAGCTACCCAGCACGCAGTCAGAAGCACACGGACCTGCGGAGGAATAACAAGACGTCTCCTCCTGCACTGGACCGCATGCAAGCCCAGGGGGGTCGGTGGATGCAGCAGTCACAATGCGACGCGTTCGAAGCATCGTTCCCTCGCCACAAAGGGCAGAACAGGGTGTCCAGTCGCTCCACTGAGACATAGAGCAATCCGTTGCTGCAACATCCAGATACAGCCGTCAAAATCACATACGTACACATGCATACAAATACGCACACACACATATATACACACACATTTACACACACCCATATAGACATACACATGACACGCCTATACATACATATATATGTATGTATATATATGTATATATTCCACAAAGACCAGAAACAGCTGCTGCTTCAGCAGTCCACCACCCTTCTCCTTTTTACCCCTCTCCCTCCTCCCTGCCCCTGCTTAGTCTCTTTTTCCTTCTCGCTTGCACACTGCTGCGTGGCAAGACACAACGCACGTTGCTGTACGCCTCCCAGTCCCTCTCTACTAGAAGGAAGAGCTCTTCTAAACTCTCTAATTTGCTGCGTTTGAAGGGCGGCTTGCAACACGTTGCCGCGAGTTATCTTGCCGACACCATCGCACAAACCTGGACAGGCCTATCTACTATCAAGAGAAAGACGTGCTTCTGCATCTGTATGTGTAAACTGCTTTTTTGGATGTTCAGCCGGCTGATTATTTGCACTTCCTGCCCCTACCCTTCTGTGCCTGTTCAACCCTTCCGACCCCCTGCAAGGCTTCTCTCGCTCCCGCCTGGTGTGCAGTGTGTACTTACACCCTCGTTCCTAGGCTGGCAGCCATGCACGGGCAGACAGCAGGAGGGAAAAAGGCAACTAACTGCTTACGGCAAGGGTAGGAGCCGCAGATCTGCGTCTCGACGAGTGAAGGGCATGCCAAGCCGCCATCTCTGGGCTGACGAACGATCGATCTCTGACGTTGCTGCTCTCCTCCCCCGCAAGTGGCTGTACAGCTGCTCCAAGCTCCCCACGCTGTGACTTGACAGTCCACCGCTGCGCGTGAATGTCGCAGCACAGGAAGCCATCATAGTTCTGGGGCAGTCCTCTTCTTGTGTCTGTCCGTCTGACTACACCTGGCAAAACTCAGGACTGTGTAGGAGCACGGCAAGTCGTTTCAGCAAGGCAAAGCTGCCTGGAGGAAGAAACGGTGCAGACTGCAGTGCGAGACATATATACATATATACATATCTCTCTCTCTCCCACTGTTTACAGGGGGGCAGGTGAGGAAATCTTCGCAGAAAACGCAGCTCTCGCCCCCGCTACCAAACACAAAGAAACACTCACGGCAGGGGGGTCCTTGACAGGCTTCAAATCGCTCCGAATCGGAGCAGAGATGCTGAAGAATTCTTCCATTCGCGTCTTTTGGAAAGGCAAGCACGACGCGTGAAGAGTGTCTCCTTCCGTGCCCACATGTTGTGTCGCAAGCTCCAAACTCTGACCACTCTCCCCACAGACAGTCTAAGACTGTCTGCCCCTCAAGCGTCTCGCAGGGAGTCGTTGCGCAAGCGACTTCCTCGGCAAGCTCGCCACAAGCCTTGCCGTTGCCTTGAGGCACTCTGACTATTTCCCTTGTTCGCCTACGGCTGCCTCCCCCGCATGGTTTGCTGCATGCAGACCATTGTGACCACGGTCCCACCTGGCAGTCTACATCGCAGCGAAATCCAAGAGCTGAGCAGAGCTGAAACTCGGTGAGACTCGAAGGATTAGGACAGTCTGGAGCCTCCAATAAGACCACTCGGCTGCGCGTAGTTGTGGGGTTCGACGTGCCGCCAGCCTGCAGGGGGTGTACTCACCAAACACAGGAGTAAGAGGAGGAGTAAGAGTAGGAGAAGTAGTAGGAGGAGTGGTAGGAGGAGTGGTAGGAGGAGTGGAGTAGGAGGAGGAAGAGTAGGAGGAGGAAGAGTAGGAGTAGGAAGAGTAGGAGTAGGAGGAAGAGGAGGAGTGGTAGGAGTAGTAATGGCAGAAGTAATAGTAGAAGTAATAGTAGAAGTCATAGTAGAAGTCATAGTAGAAGTCATAGTAGAAGCAATAGTAGAAGCAATAGTAGAAGTCGTAGCAGAAGTAAGAGTAGGAGTAGTAATGGCAGAAGTAGGAGTAGTAAGAGTACAAGTAGTAGTAGCACGGACTTTAGCCGGGCTTATAAGACAAGACTAAAAGGAGTCTTTTTTTCGACAGAGCATTGTTGCAGAAGGCGTTCCTTGATCCCACATTGCGTGCACCGAGAGGTTTTTGTTTTGTGTTTCTCTGAGTGCTCTCTGTTTGCGCGTTTCTTGATGCGCGGAGCTGCATGCCGCCTAAGGCCCTTTAACGCAGCAGGGGAGGAGGGAGAAGGAAGAGGGCACAAGCAAGCAAGTTGAGGATGCTTTAAAAGACGTGCTGAGACTGCAGATTGTAGGGAAGGGGGTGCTGTACCTGCTGGCAGAGGGGACCACAAGGAGTCCAGTCTGTCCAGTCACCAAGGATGCATTTCGGAGAGCACTTTCCGCCGCATGCGCGCAATTCTTCGAGATTACTGCAATTCCGTCCTCCGGAAGTAGGCGCCTCCAAGACTTGGCGCGTTCGCCGTTGCTCTCCGAGACCACAAGGATGCGAGCATTCGCTCCAAAGGGACCATTCGCTGAGCATACAGTTGACTGGGCAAGCGCCTTGCTCGCACGGCTTGAGCTGATCGAGCAGGGGACAGGGGTTGCCTGCTCCTTTGGGTTCCTTTAGAACCTCGCGCAGTCTTCTCTGCACTCCGACCCCACAGCTTGTGCTGCATGCGCTCCACGCGCTCCACTCAGAGGCGAGGCAGTCTACGGCTGAGGCAGAAGGATCCCAGCAAATCGCACAGACAAAAAAAGGGGGTGGCTCTCAGAGACAGAGAGAGAGAGAGAGAGAGAGAGAGAGAGAGAGAGAGAGAGAGAGAGACAGACAGAGACAGTGAACTGAGTGGCTGCTTGGTCGCCTGTCTGTGGCGTTCTGTCTCTCTGTTGGTACGGTAGAAGTTTCAGCCGCTCTTGCTTCCGTATAGAGAGAGAAACAGAGATAGATGTAGAGATGGATAGATGCAGATAGATGGAAGTAGGTAGATAGAGATAGATAGGACGCGCCAGTACACACGTCGAATATGTGTATGTATAAATATCTCAATACGTAAGGGCGCGGAAGAAGAAGCAGAGTGGAAGCCAAAGTGTGCAGCAGTGCCAGTTTGGAGGCAGTCGGGGGAGACGAACCGCAGTCATGCAAGTTGCAAGGCGCTGTCTGCGTGCTGGGGGGGCAGTCTGCGTCTGCTTCGAGAGCCTTGACTGCTCTTGCCCTCGTCTTTGTGCCTCCCTCGCACGCTTTGCTGCATGCAGTCCACTCTCCCCACTCTCCAAGCTCACACCCCCCATCGCACGAAAAGGTGTTGCATGCCCTCGACTCGAGCAGTGTGGGGCAGGCGGAGCCGGTGGCAATAGGAGGAGAAAGCACACGCCGCTGTCGCGACTGCTGACCCCCTCCACAAGAAGCTCCGCAAGGCGACCAGACACTCCAGTCGCTCACGAGACAGTCCGCAGCGCAGGCAGTCAGGAAGCAGTGTCGCTCTTGCCGCAGGGTGGGGCAATTCTCGCCTGCAGAGACACCAGCGAATTGAGTGGCTTTTTGTTTCAGCCGCGTCGCGAGACGCTGCGAAAAAGGCTTTTGGGAATACTGGGGGAGGAGGCGGAGGGGAGGAGAAGAGTCGGGGGGATTTCAGGGGGAAGCCACACGGACGCTCAAGCAGCGGATACTGCGTGAAATAAAGACGCTACGAACGTCTCTGCTGCAGAGGCAGCAAAGGCGCTAAACGAAAAAGCACCAACAAACGACTACACACACACACAGCAAAGAGGAAGCGCCAACGAACGACTACACACACACACAGCAACGGAGAAGCGCCAACGAACGACTACACACACACACAGCAAAGAAGAAGCGCCAACGAACGACTACACACACACACAGCAACGGAGAAGCGCCAACGAACGACTACACACACACACAGCAACGGAGAAGCGCCAACGAACGACTACACACACACACAGCAAAGAAGAAGCGCCAACGAACGACCACACAAACCAAAGAAGCAGCGCCAACGAACGACCACACAAACCAAAGAAGCAGCGCCAACGAACGACTACACACACACACACAGCAAAGAGGAAGCGCCAACGAACGACTACACACACACACAGCAAAGAAGAAGCGCCAACGAACGACTACACACACACACACAGCAAAGAGGAAGCGCCAACGAACGACTACACACACACACACAGCAAAGAGGAAGCGCCAACGAACGACTACACACACACACAGCAAAGAAGAAGCGCCAATGAACGACTACACACACACAAACCAGAGAAGAAGCGCCAACGAACGACTACACACACACACAGCAAAGAGGAAGCGCCAACGAACGACTACACACACACACCAAAGAAGAAGCAAAGGCGCAAAATCACCTTCTTCATCCGGTTCTTTGAGAATGTGGCGCTCTCTCACGCTAACGCCAAGCCCACAGCTCTGAGAGCAGCTCGTCCACTCTCCCCATTCGCTGACTTGGCAGTGTGTTGGGCAAGGCACGTTGGAATTGCACCCCTGACGCGTCTCCTGCAGACACGATTAGCGCAAGAAGGCGCGTCTTTTCCCACCATTTCGTCAGTATTATGAGGCCTCTGCAAGGCTTGATCAAGACACAAAGAGATGCGCGCATTGTGCACGATAAAGCGTTGCAGCCGAGTCAGCGATAGAATGGTGAACTCGGACTGGAGGAAGACATCCAGCAATCGAACAGGCTGCGATGCTTGATACATCCCCAAACAGGGGCACTTTCAGCTTTGTTTTCTTTATTTTGCACATGCATGCAAACGGCATGACACCCCCAAATGTCAAGTGGAACCCTTGAACCTACGGGTAAAACTCTAAAAGTCGAAGTCTTGCTGGTGGCGCGTGTGTGTCTGACTATTAGGGTTCATACATGTACTATGTGTATGTGTATGTATGTGCATGCTTGTGCGTGTATATGTGTGTGTGTTTGGGTGTTGTATGTGTGTGTATGGATGCATGTTTGTGTATGTGTGTAGGTGTATAAGTGTGTAGGTGTATAAGTGTGTAGGTGTATAGGTGTGTATGTGTGTAGGTGTATGTGTGTATGTGGGTAGGTGTATAGGCGTATGTATGTATGTGTGTATGTATCAATGTATGTATGTGTGTATGTATCAATGTATGTTTGTGTATGTATCAATGTATGTTTGTGTATGTATCAATGTATGTTTGTGTATGTATCAATGTATGTTTGTGTATGTATCAATGTATGTTTGTGTATGTGTGTATGTATGTGTGTAGGTGTATAAGTGTGTAGGTGTATAGGTGTATGTATGTATGTGTGTAGGTGTGTATGTATCAATGTATGTATGTGTGTATGTATCAATGTATGTTTGTGTATGCTTGTGCATGTATCAATGTATGTGTGTGTATGTGTGCATGCGTACGTATGAATATATAATATATGTGTATATCTATGTATCAGTGTATGTATGTATCAGTGTATGTATATCTGTGTGTAAGTAACTATGGCAATGTATGCTCGAATGGATGCAGCTCCAACATATAAATAATATGTATGTGTATATGTAGGTGGATGAATATGCATACGTGTCTGTCTGTGTGTGTCTGTATGTGTGTGTCTGTATGTGTGCCTGTCTGTATGTGTGTGTCTGTCTGTATGTGTGCCTGTCTGTATGTGTGTGCCTGTATGTGTGTGTCTGTATGTGTGTCTGTATGTGTGTGTCTGTATGTGTGTCTGTCAGTGCGTATTTGTGTATGTCCACGAATGAAGTATACAATACACACATATACATGTGTATATGTGTAGTATGTAGGTATGATACACACATCCCAATATGTTCTGACCTCGAGTTTTGGACAGGGTGTGCCTCCTTGTTTGGCTCTGCTTTTGACTTCTCTGCGTCTGCGCTCCGTCCCCGGCCCTCCACAGGTGACGCTGCATGCAGACCACTCCGTCCAAGGTCCTACTACGCAGTCTGCACTCCAGCAGTCTCCCCCGTCGAACTGGCAAGCGGCGTTGTTGCACACAGCGTCGCACAAGGTGTTGCCGAGGAACCACAAGGCACAGCCTGGAGCGCACTCTTCGCAGAGCCCACAAGTCATTGGACAAGCGTCTGCCACGCGACTGAATGCGGGGATGTTTGCGGGCAGTCTTCCGTCGGGGGAGATGTCGATGAGTCGCTTTTCACACCCCAGACGGCCTCCTAGAGAACGTGCGATCAGTCGGCACTTGACTCCGAAGTCTTCCACGCGCTCGTCGTCCTCGCAGATGAGACCGTTGCTTTCCAAAAGGGGGCGGGCGGGACGGGCGGCTGCGGGATCCAGCGGATCTCCTAGATCCAGAGTCAGCTGTTGCGTCTGCTGGTGCCTTCGTCTGCTCCCCCCGCCTCCCCCCTCGCCTTGACGAGGCGGTGAAAACAGTCCGCCCCCCCCGCTGCTGCTGCCCCCTGCGCCCATGCTTTGCAGTCGGCGCACGGCAAAGTGGAAAACGTCCGACTCCGTGAGCACCACTTCATCGTTGACGCCTCCGTTCGCTTCTTCTCCTTCTCCTCGCAGCGAGACACCAGGCTGCTGCTCCTCCTGCAGGAGGAGGGCAGGGGCGATCGTTGGAGCCGCCAACGCCTGATGCCGTCGATGGTAAAAGAAATCAGGGGAATCGACAGTGTAGTTTAGCAGGCAGCGCGAGTCCATTAGAGAACAGTCAGTGGAGGCCTCTCTGCGTGGATTACTGTCTTCTGTCTGAGCATGTGCCCATATATAGCCGCCGCTCACACATAGCCACACGCCTGCCAATATCCACTGGCCTAGGGATCTCCTTGATGGCCTTTTTCTGTAACAGTAGTCGGAAAGTCGCGTGCTTCCGGAGCGCCCTCTGGGAGGGAAAAAGCGGCTTCTTTCCTCGGGCGTCTTCGCTGCAGGGGGTGCGGCACTCGTCTGGCATCGCTTGTCGAGCGAAAGAAGCTTCACATGTCGGCTCGGCTGTCTGCCTTCGCCGTCTGCAGACATTTTCCCTTGCCGTCGTACAGAGGGAGAGCGGCAACGGGAGAGACACCATGCCTCGCTGCTGCTTCCGTCCTCAGGACTGCAGGCGGCCTGTGGGGAGTTGGTCGCTTCCCCCTCTAGCGCAGCTGCCAGCAACGGCTTGTCGGATTTAACGCAAAGCACGTGCTGGAGCAGCGCCTCCCTGCCGATAGGGCTCTGCCTCATGGCATCGGAGGGGGAAAGGCGGGCACGCTGCAGACAAAAGGCGAGCACAACGAATCGAAGGGGAAGGCTGCAGCAATCGCCTGCAAGCTTACGCCTGACATTGACTGCAGTCAAGGGGACCTAGTAGGAAGTTTGCGTGTGGAGCCTCTCACATGGAATTCAGGTCGAGGGACGCCTCAAGAGGCAGCAAGAAGCTGCAGCGTGCCTTTTTAGCTCCTCAGAGAGCCTCCTATGGCCGCGGAAAAACCGTGTAGCGAGGCAATGCGATATGGGAGACTCCAGTTCTCTCCGTCTTGTAGAGACTGCCCTCGCTGCGAGTCTCTATCCGCCGTCTGCGACCAAGTTGGCTTAGGAGAAAAACCTGTGATGCTGGAGGAGATCCTTGTGAGGCTGGAAGCTAAAAAATATTCTTTGTTTGTTGCGGAGTCGGCCACGCTGGGGTCACCACAGCTGCCATGAGGGGGAGGGAGGGGAGTTCGCGTCAGCAGAGGCTTCGCTTGTCAAATGTAAAGGTCTTAAAACAGTGTATTAAATGGCTGGCTGGAGGGTGCACGGACTCTACTGGGCAGCAAAGTTTCTCGCGGATTAGAAGCACAGTACCGCAACCCGCTGCCGACTGTAGAGTGTAGTAGGGCAACAGTAGTGAACATCCAGCGAGTGGTAGCCTCGAGCAAAAAGAATGACACCTAGGAAGAAACAAATTAAAGGAAGAAAAATTTATTTTTCGAGCTTCCAGAACAGGATTGGCCCCTAATGCTGAACACCAAACTCCCAACGCCCCTCTCCAGGGCACGGATGATCAGAGACACACACGGCGGTCAAGTGGCAGCCGCGCCTCCATCAAACTTTGCGTCTGTCTCTCTCATGCTGATGTCCAGAAAAATGTATGTCCCTGAATTCCCTTGCAAATTCATAGAAGGAGGGGAGAAAGGGGAGGTGGGGTCGCTGTATGCTGGGAAGCGACGTGCTCTAGGCGTGAGCCGATGGCTTTGCCAGGAAAAATTGCAGCAGGTGGTACGCGGTTGAAATGGGCGCGGATTTTCCCAATTATTCATTCAGAATGCAAATTTCATGGCTTTTATACGCGTAATAGGCTTTAGGGCCTCCCCGAAATATTGTAGGAGGCCCCTTTGCCCTGCAGATGCTACGTGCACAATAGAAGAAGGCAAGGAAGCAGCCCGGCGTCTCCCTGCCTTTCCGTATTAGACGGGGGGCCTTTGAGCGAAATATCTGCATAAAGCTGACGATAGTGAGCATTACTCACATTCTTCCCATTTTTTCAGAAGACTTCCTGCGAGATGTATCTACTTGGGGGCACTAGTCCTTCTCCAGAGTTGTTCACTCGTTGGAGGCTCTTTGGAAGAGGGGCGTTGCTTGAGGTCCATGTCCATCGGGAAGGGCTGATCGTTGCTTCCGGTGAGGCTGTTGCGTCTGAAAGCCCTGATTGTGCTTTTAAATTGAGGCTTCATTGAGCCTCAGAAGATGCGCATGCAGGGGAAGCTGTTCCCAAGGAAACGCATGAAAGGAAACGGACGGTCCTCGAGCTTCTTATTGCATCACAGAAGCCTAGTGTAGCCAACACAATGCACATTCAACGAGGAAAAATAAGATTCTAAGATCCTTCCAGGGCCTTCGAGCTTGTGGGCTGTAAAGCCCACGAACTACACATACTGATACAGCAGAGCGAGTCCTGCTACGTTACGCTAGATTGCGATGTTATTTGGGTGCCAACATAGGGAAGACGTAGATGTATTTAGCTAAGCAATCGGCTGCGGGGGCATTGCTTCTTGTTAAGTCTTCGACCCTATGGCAGCCTGAGCTGCACTCTCAGGTCCCGGTCATACTCTGAACTGCTCTACTGAGATGTCGATATGTTTATTGAGCTGTCCTCAGCAAACGCTAACGGATGTCATTTAGATCAAGATTCGACAGCTAAGTAACCACCAGCCACTCCCCCGTGTGACTCAAACGGCCTTGAAGCGCACGGTGGTGGTCAAGGCTACACTTGAAAATGTTTTACTATGATAGTTATAATTGATTATAATCTAGTGAAGAGTTGAATGTTTGTTCTGGCTGTGCGTATATTCTTATTAGTTCCATGATACCACTAAACAGGTACAGCAAGATGCAACGCCTTGTGTGTTCTGTGTGCAACTTGTTGTGAATGCTTGAAGTGCTCAGAAGTTGCAGCGACGCTCAACCTATATACCCCTATTACTTTGTGTACGAAAATCTTTCGTGCTAAGCAGTTAACTGGAGAAGCGCTTTTGGAAGAAACCTTAATAACTTCCAATGGCGTGTTTACTGACTTTGGGACCAACAGGGTCTCTATGGCCAGCTGAGCTACAGTTTCGCACGTTCTACTACACGATCTATATAATTATTTGAATTAGTAAACAGTTGACCGATTGACTTTTTTGTCGGTGCACCTTATTTATTGAGCGTGCTGTAAGTTTAATGCAAGAAGGTGCAATGCCGTGCGAGAGTGCACTATATGCTCTGCGCAGCTAGCTACGAACGCTTGGAGTGCTTAGAGATCGCAGCTACGCGTGTCCTTGCTGTCTCTGTCCAATAATGTCGAAACTTCTGAGGGGCGCGAGTAGGGAAAGGAGAGAGTTTTATGGAAAACACTCAGTCTCATTATATTAAAGTTGAGTTGAGCCTGGAGTGAAATGTCTCTTTCTACGGATTTTCAGATAAAGCGGTATGCAGCACGCTGGACAAATCATAGAAGGCATTTCCTCTCGAGCTCATTCTGATGCCTTGATGAAGCTTGAAGCATGGGACTCCCCGGATAATGGATTGATGAAGCTCGAAGACTGTATGGGTTGACGGAAAATCCTAATATGTTTTTGGTATGAGTATCCTCCAAGTTCTACGACTTGTTCACCATAATTGCGTCTTTACTTTTCTGAACTGTGACAGAGGCACCTGTTGATCTCTCGGCGAAACCTAAAGGCAACTGAAGCACCATGCAACATCGTGTATGGGTCTGGCACGAGTGCCTTATCTCGGCGGCAAGAAACACAAATATTGCATGATAGAGTCGCACCAGCGAATGTTGTACGCAGCTCCGCAAATGGCAAGGTTATATTTAGGCTCTCTGGCTAAGTTAGTCTCTATGAGACTATCAAACCGTCAGCTGCGGCCCCAAGGGTCCACACATGGCTGTTGTAGCACTAAATCAGATATATCGCTATTGGTTTCTGACCTTCTGCCTGGTTGCTAAGCCTTACGTCGTTTGGTACCACATGTCGGGCACTTTTTACTCCATATCCTGGACTGGTTTTTGTTCCTGCTTTATTTGCCACTGGTATATGTTCAACATACTGTGCATATATTTTTTGATAGTAATTATGCAAGCATTTATATTGCTACCAAACAGGAAGGGAAGCAAATTTACACAAGAGCATCGACTACTGCGCGGCCCACCAACCACAACACACGGACACCCCGGCCCCACAATCTAAATTCCACGCAGTTTTATCATTTTTCGATTATACCTTGATATTTGCATATTTAAAGGTGACTTCTTCGGCAGTTCCATGCTGAGTCTCTACCTGCCGCAGGCGCCGCCTCGTCGGAGACCCTCCTATTGGGGGGGTTGTCTTGTTGCCTCATTCCGCCAATGGGAATCACAAATCTCCTTGTGAGTCCCCAGCTCCCTTTAAGAAAGATATCACAAAAAGCTGCAGAAAGTCTCTGACAAGCTACTCAACTTGCCTGTTTTCGCTAACGAAACCCCATAGAGAGTGAGAGCGTTTACATTTTCTATGTGAGGCCGCCACCCCTGTCGTAGAGATTGATGGGAGTGCGTGCCTAGCAGAAGCCTGAACTGCTTCCTTCGTGCATGAAGGGACCAGTGCAGGGGCACCCTGCGTTGTGATTGCACTCAGTTGTTGCTCTGAATACCTTGGTTTCAGTCATCCGCTGCATGCGTCATCGAGTGTTCTGTTCATTGTGCAGCAATTTCTGAAGCCCATCACGTCAACTGGCCATGTCGAGGAGTTTGTCTTACCGCCATTCCTTTCGTCATCCCCCTTATCCCCCCCTCCCCGTCCACCCCTTGCCCTTCTTCAGCCTCAGTTGCCTTCTTCTCATTGCACGGCCTGGTGCTGCCCGGCTGTGGTTTTGTGTGCCTCTCCTCTGTCTGTACAGCTGCAAAGGCCATGTAATTGGGGTGGATGCCATGTGCTGGATGCATCGTGGAGCAGCCGCATGCGCCGTGGAACTCGTAGAGGGGCGAGAGACCGACAAGTACATTCTTTCCTTTGGCTTGGCAGAGCTTTGAAGGTCTCATCCTAGGCTGATGCTTCTTGCGATTCGTGCTGAGCTGCTCTGAATACGAAGGTGGAGAAGAAAAGGCAGTGGAATTCAGGGATTGCCCTTCGCGTTCCCCCCACGTGCCTTCGTGTGTTGTCTCTTGGCTCTTGCAGATTCCTTCGCTTTTTCATTTCCATGGTCTCCCTTCTGCGGTTTTATGAAGTTACACCACTCATTGGTGAGGCTGCATTCTTGCAGCACTTGATTTCGCATGCGGAGTCAAGCGGCGATTCGACGGATCGCAATTCCTTATAAGTCGGTTCCAGCGACGGCAGATCGGCTAGCTGCGTCTCAGGCCGTTAGCAGCCGCCAGCTGCAAGGCTTTGCCAGCCGAGTCTCTTTCAGTGGCCATACCCTGTCAAAGTAGCTGCACTTTGTTTCCGCTTTGTGTGTTATTACCCTCCGTGCTCGCTTCAGTCTTCGACGGCAGCCGCATCGACGTTAAATCGGGGGAAGATGAAAAGCGCAGACGGTGAGGCGTTAAGCGTAGCCAGCGCAGGGACGGCATGCATAGCAGCAGCAGCAGAGCGAATGAAGCGAACATGAGCCGTCGGATCTTTAGCATTTCCCGCAATAACTGCATTGTGTGTCGTGCTGAGATGACTCAGACGGCGAGAGGCCGCGCGCCAGGAAGCCTTGGAACTGCTGCAGCGTAAACGGCAAAACTTGCCTGTCGATTACAAGGCACGCATCAGCCTCCCGTGTCGTTTCCTCTGTAGAAACCTTTTTGCGGAGTCTGAGTATAGGACAGCACTACTGACTGTTGCCACATACTCGGCGGAAGATCCTCTGGAAGCCTCACGTCCGTGCTGATTGAGCTTGGGATAGTCTTGATGCCTTGCTCTCTGTCAGTCTGTTTTGCGGTGGGGGGAATGGAAATGCTGCCCTTAGGAATTGATGTCCAAGTGCTCACAGAGCATTTCCATTACACCTGCAATGGTAGGCGCTGCAAGGCTCTCTCTTGCTATGCTACAATGTCGCTCGCAGCAAGCGATTTGGATGCGAAGGAGCTGTCTGTCTTCGACGCAGCTCTTTCCGCTGCCGCCGCTTATCTAATGCGTCTCTAACTGAGATTCCGTCCCAATTGCTGCTGCTGCTGCTGCCCTCTGAAGCGCATCTCTTGCTTCGAGAATAGAATCTTCGCTCATCAGTCTTCTTCGCAGTGCAAACCGTCTTTGCGCAGGTGGATAAGGTCATCGCGGCCTGTAGAGAGCTGGGAGTTCGCTGTATTGTGGCACCGTTTGAGGCAGACGCCCAGCTCGCCTATCTTTCTCGCACAAATCAAATAGTGCGTGAATATTTTCCCTCTGTGCCTCTCGCTTTTCTTGATATATGCGTCTCGCCTGCGGGCTTATCGTGTTGCCTGTGTCAGAAGGTCTCTCTCTCTCTCCTTGCCACGCGGTGCCCAGCCTCTCTGCAATAGGCGTGTCCTCTTCGTGGATGCATGCGCCTCCTGGAGGGAGGGGATAACAGCCGCTGTGACTTGCGACTGTTGGTTTTTCTCGCTCAGCACAGCGCTATTTCGGAAGATAGCGACCTCTTGGCATACGGGTGCAAACGCGTAATGCTCAAGATGGACAAGGAGGGGAAGTGTGACGTGATTCAACTCCCTTTCCTGCAAGACGAGAACGACCAACCCGAGCTTCTGCGGGCCCTGCCTAAGACTTCCAAGCAGCAGGCATGTGATATGCCACCAGACAGTGCGGAAGAATAGACCTCCCTCTAGAGGTCGTCTTCGTTTCGTGCTTTTTGCAACAAGGAACTGCTGTCTAGAGGCGTTCCTCCCTCCCGACGCGTCGGCCGCGGCTCGGCGTGTATACATACATGCGCGCTTGCTTTCTCTCTTCCTCTCTCCTACCTCCCGCAGGAACTGCTCCGTTCCTTGAAGGGACTGAGCCACGAGCAGTTCGTTGCCATGTGCGTCCTCGGAGGCTGCGACTACACCAACAACGTGCACATCAACGTGAGTTTTTTTTCTGGTGAATGAGATCGTCCGTGACAGACGTCTCCCGGAGGGCCTTTTCAGATAGCTGATAAGGCCTGGATCTCACTGCGGCATGGCGGCGGAGCCGTGTCTGCCTGCGCGTTGCAGGGCATGGGTGTCGCCACGGCGTGCCGCCTCGTCACGCAACTCCGAACGCTGAAACGTGTTCTTGAGTTTTTATGTCGGGATAAGAAGTGGTCTACACGGTTCCCCGCGGTGAGGCCTCCTCCGTCTTTTTTGCGAGTGGTCTGGGGGCAGTCGAGGCGCTGCGCTGTCTCGTCGATGCCGTTCCCGCAGCGGTTTCACTGTGGCTGTCTGCTGCCGCTGCCGCTGCTGGAACTCAGGGGAAGGAAGAAGTTGTTCTTGGTCATATCCAGGCGGAGCAAACCTTCCTGCACCACAAAGTGTTCGATCCGAAATCCCAGCGTGTTGTGCTTATCTGCTCCGACGGGGCACAGGTGGGGGAGAGGCCGGATAGGGAGACTTCGTCAGACGCCTGCCTGCTGTGTTGGCACCTGGAAGCCCAATCGACTTCTCACGGCCTCAATCGCTGCAGACGCATTCCTTGATCCAAGTCGGTGCGACTGGTTGTGAGATCTCAAGGCTGCTGCATGTCCTGAACGCAGGAAAAAGGGATAGGTATCGATACTGTCGAGGAGAAGAACGAGCGCGCCATCGAGATCGCCAGCGGGCTTATTGACCCCCGCACTGGTGCACCCCGCAACACAGCCGTAAGATGCTAAAAATCAAGCAGCCACTGGCTTTCATAGTCTCCCCTCACGCGTGGTGGCTCGGCCTGATTGAAAAGAAACGAGGGAATGTTGCCTGGCATGCGTGCTTGTGCTATACCCAGCTGTCCCCCGCGGAGTGCGAGCTCATCAGGGAATGCCAACACAGAGCCTTCAACGGCCTTGAGGCGCAACAGCTCAAAGCACAGGCAGTAGCCAACAAGGAGGCAGCCCTCCGTAGTCAGGCAGCAGTGCAGGCTGCGAAAGAAGCTGTCTTGTCGGCTGTAACGGAAAGCACGAAAAAAGCTGTGGCTGACAAGCCTACACACAAGTCCACAGGGTATACTGTGCGTATCGCCGCGCCTCGGAACGATGAGGCCCCGCCTTCCCAAATCGATAGAGCTCCTCCTAGCGCATGCACTCAAGAGGCAGTCTTGCAGTTAGATGCATTTGCTGCTCTTCCTACGCATGCATCCAGCAGCAACAAGAGCACCACGACTGCCGATAAATCCGCTGCAAGCGTTAGTGCAGCAAAGCGGCTATTACAGGACATGACGCCCCAAGGCTTCCAGGTAGTCACTAAGGCTGCGCTTGCCACAGACATTAAACCCCAGCCAGCTGAGGCACTTTCAGGCTCCAATTTAGCAAGCTGCAGAGAGGACACGCCACGCGAATTCAGCGAGACGCCTACGGACTCGACGGAAGCAGACACAGCAAGCAGCACTCAGGAGAGCGCCGTGGCTTCAGTCGCTTGTAGCCTTTCACAGTTTGCTTTTAAGTGGGAGACAAGTGGCGCGAAGGAAAATAGGATCTCAGCAACTGGCCGAAGAGATGTGATAACCAAAACGCGGTTTGCGCACCGCACGAAACTCCTCTTTTCTGCGAAGCAGCCCGCCCTTCCGTTTTCCTCTACGAACGCCTCAATAGGCACAATGAGCTCCGCTGCCGATAGCTGTATACCTCCTTCCACAACTCCGGGAGGGAAGAAGGGCGACTCACCAGCGGATGGACCGCCCTCAGAGAAGCGAAAGTCTGTCGGATTTCTTAAGGCAGACGATACACAGGCTTCATCCGCAGCCCTTAGCATTCGATTTCTAGAGGACAACCACAAGAAGCAACGGCTTCTTTGAATTTGGCAGATATGCCACGTATGAAACCGCAACTGGTGTTTCCAATGTCTCAATCGCGCGTTTCTTCCTACCCCCATTAAAACATTTCAAGGCTACACAAAACAGCATAACGTAGTGAAGGGCCTCGCCTCATGTAGCGCTAACGTACCGCTCGGTTGACTGCTTATCAATAGGCGTCTTCTCTACAGCAGCCCCCCTTCGGCTGCTGTGAAGAAGACCGGGTTATGGCCTACAGGGACGCTGGGATTGCCTCGAAATCTGTACAGCAACGCATCTCTTAGCTGCCTGTCAGCTCCATTCCTTTTCAGCAATGTGCTGCAGCCAGCCTATGAGTCGGCCAGCACTGCGGATGCCAAATCTAGCTAAAACGCCGCGTGTGCGCGCTAATCACACCTCTCAGCAGCAAGCTGACAGCGTAAATATCCTTGGGGGGCCCATAGTCTATGCAAAATTAAATACGCAACAGTGTCATGGCACTCGAAGAGTACAGCCTAAAGGCTGCCTGTACTGTACACAACGAGCACCGAGGCACTCTCTTACAAGCCTCCTTTTGAGAGGTTCCATAAGGAAAAGCACTCCCCTTTTGGGGAATGTTGTCACGCAAAATACAGCACCGCAAGGTAAAGCAGCACTTGCTGCTGCTACGCAGTGCGCTCGTCTGCTTTCCCCATGCAAAACCAATAGGCAACGCAATTGTGAATCGCTTTTTTTAACCAAAAAGCCTACTGTTGCGCTCTGTGGCGGCGGCCTCTTTTGGAGAGGTGAGGGGCCTCTCTGAGCGGCACTCCCCCTACAGGATGCTTCAACAGAGACTCGACAAGCTGGCGACGCTTCTGACGCTGTGCTTCCAACTCTGCTTCCCTCTTTGCGAGCTCCTCCGCCTCTTTCTTTGCCTGTTGTTCCCTGAGCTTTGCCTCCTCTTGTCGTTTAGCTGCCTCCTTGGCCTCCTCCTCATGTCTCTTCTTCTCCGCTTCGCGCTGCAGTTTTTCTTTTCGGGCCTTTTCTTCCTCTGCCGCCCGTCTTTGCTGCTCTCTTTCTTCTCTCTTCCGCTTCTCCTCTTGTTGTGCTATTGCTCGCTCTGCCTTCTCCCTCTCCTCTGCCTCCTTCTGCTCTTTCTCCCTTTTTAGCCTCTCGGCCTCAGCACGGGCCTTTGCTTCTTCTTCCGCCTTCTTTGCTGCCTCTTCTTCTGCTGCTCTGCGCCGCTTTTCCTCCTCAGCTTTTCTCTCTGCTTCCTTTCGTTGTTTTTCCTCCTCTTGTTTAGCGGCCTTGGCTCTCTCTTCCTCCTGTGCTTTGTGGCGAGCTTCTGCTTCTCGTCGCTTTTCCTCAGCCTGCTCTTGCTTCTTCTTGAGCTCCTCTGCTGCTTTCTTTGCGGCTTCAAGGCGCTTTTTAAGCTCTTTCTCTTCTTCTTTCCGGCGAAGCGCTTCTTCAGCTGCCTTTGCTTTTTCCTCTTCTTCCCGCTGACGCTTTGCCCGAGTTTCAAGTACCCTTTCCAAATGCGCCTGCCATCCAGGCACTTCATTTGGCTCTACAAAGACTACTGTTGAGCTTTTGTCTATCTCCCACCAAGGTCCTGCACGCAAAGCATTTTAAAGAGTAGAGCGAACAAGCATGCACAGCCTAATAGGATTATACTGATCGGGCGTAGAAGGGTCTTGCCTGAATTCGGGTAGCGCAGGCAGGAAGGACAGTCCTGCTGAAGCAAGAAATCTCTTACCCTCTGACATTGGACCGTAGACTGTAGAGCTTGTAAACCGGTAGTGTGCTTTGAGGACGCGAATGTGCGCTGGTGGCTCCTTCCCAGCAAAAGGATTGCGGTGCAGTAGTTTTGAGACCGTCAAGTTGTTCTGGAAGGGAGCACACACACACACGAACAAGCCTCGATGCACAAGACAGCCCTCCGCCTCTGAGGTATACCCCTGGCGGAGGCCCTGTTAAGCAGCCATACTGGCAGAAGCTTTGGCGCAGCCGTCAAGATAAAAGGGCGCACCTGCAGGAGTTTCTTAAGAAATTGTTGAAACCACTGATGGCGAGCCATAGAAGCTTGTTTGTCTTCCGTGGGGAGTAGACTCTGCGGGCAGCCAATCACCGAGGTAGCTCCATGTTTAGGCATGCACGTGTCAGAGCCTGGGGAGGCACACCTGCTCAGTGCTGCTGAGTGTTCACTTACCATGAGCCAGTCGAGACGGTGGTGGTAGGGGGCATCGAAACAAGGGCGCCGCTTCAGTTTTGTCGGTTTGCAATGAAATTCATAATCTTTCCACACTGTTCTACTATCCTGCGAAATTCGAGAAAAGTCGCATGTAGATGCTCGCATCAGCGTAGTGGAGCGCGTAGAAGCGACCAGGGAAGGAACCGGGGGGTTGCAACCGAGTGGTTGTTGAAACAAGCCTGCCGTACCACAGTGCTGTCATCCGTGCCTTGCACAATGAGTTCGTATCGTTTCTGGGCAACAGAAAATACAGCGAATCTTGGTCTTGAATGAGGGTAAGCAGGCGGCTTCGTTGTCGTGTACCTGGCTAAGAGACTCAAGAAGTGTACGGAGGCTGAGTTTTTGTTCTAATGGCGTGAACCATTGCGCTGCGAACTTGAGATGATGGAAGCTGTTTGATTTTGAAGGAACAAGGAAACTTACCCTGTGGACAGTGCCTAAGGCCCCGTACGTGTTAACAATATGGAAAGGATCGTAGTTGACGTTCGAAACCTACACAATCGTCACGCACACTACCGCTTGGATCGTGGCCGCCCCCCTCAAATCCGTTTGCTGCAGCGGGTAGAAGCAGGTTCGAGAGGCCGTGGACGATCCTCAGCATTAGCACGTGTCTACTGGAACGTACCTGATGAGGGGAGAGAAGGTTTGCGACCACTGGAACAGACAGAACGATGAGGAGGACTAGCAAGAGCACCTCAACGTGGAGTTTCGTGACTAGCGCTGCGTTCTTTAAAGTGGAATACGAAAAGATCACCAGCACTGCAACGACGCAAGATGTGAGCCAGACGCTCCAGACCTCTGGGCCGTATGCGAAGAGATTGTTGAAGCTCATAAAGACGGCAAACGACAGAACAAGCTCCGTAAAGATGTAGGATGCCTTGGTTTGGGCAACAAATGCAGAAAAGGACGCTTGGAGGAGCACTAAAAAGAACTGGCTAATGACCTCCCAGACCGCGTATGTCTCGAACTCCGATAGACGCCAGGCGCAAGTGATGATGGCTCCCGCAATAACTATTTCAGTAACCACCTTCCACCATCGCTTGGAAATATGCCGACGCATGGCATCGACGGTCCCCTTGGGCAATTTGCTCCGCTTGACGAGTGCGACAAAGTCGGGCCAGTACCAACAACAGCAAGACCGTTCTTTCTTTTCGCTCTCCAAGCTAACCTGCTCCTTTTCCCCTACGCATTCGCACCAGACAGCACCCCGTCATGCGTATCTCTTTCCTGCTTAAGCTACGAAGAAGAGTTAGGACGTGGCATCTCGTGTAAGCGAGCAAACACAGGCTTGGCCGTGTTTTTTGTCACACAAAAAAGTGTTGTGCCTTCTGGATCTCACGTGCGTCAGGCCCCAATAGAGCTTGATCCTCTGAGTCGTCAAGAGTCTCGCGCGATTTCAGACGAGCATCAAGGGGCCACCCCTGCTTTAATGGGCAAGACCACGTTCCTGCAGGCCCCTTTGTGACTTCTTTCATTCTCTCCAAAGTCTTTACAGAGAAGAGGCCAGAGAGAAAGCGGTCGTCTAGGCACATGATTGCGGGGACGATGGTGAGGAGGCTTGCAAAGGAGGCGTTCTCAGACAGCGCAACCAAAAGCTGGTACACTATCAAAGACACCCCTCCGATCAGGCGGCAAGAGCGTCGGGGAATAAGAATCAGGAAAGGTGCTACGCAGGTCATCAGGAAACACAACACGGCCTCGGTTACATGCATCCAACGCGGCTGGTTGTGCAAGTACCACGCGAGAGGCGTAGGTAGAGGCTGGGTTTCAAAGTGGTAGTCTAGCGCCGAAAGATCTCGCCAAGCTCTGTCGTGCCTCAGCTTATCCAGACCGGCCCCTAGCATTATGCGCATTAGCAGCCAGCGGCTGCCCCACACGCAAACTTTGGGGGTTGGCCAGCTTAGAGGCAGCCGCGAGGAACTCCAAAAAGGACAGAGCCAAATCGCTAGGAATCCAGTTTCCAAGAGCTGCGACTCCCACCCTAAGAAGTACCACTCCTGACCGACGCTCACAAGGCTAAGGTGGAAAAGCCACAACATTAGCATCCAGCCCGCGTTGGCTGCTCCACACATGAAGATGCCCGTCGCAACCGCCATCCCTGAAGAGCTCCACAAAAGCAAGGCCAAAGGCCGTAAAATGAGAGGCACCCAGAAAAGGTCTGAAGCTGGCAATGTGCTGCTGACTCACAGAACTGCGGAGGACGACACAGCAACCTGCTGACTAAGCCGATAAAAAAGACGCTAACGAACACACACTACGCTTTAGAGCGCAGGTTACGCCACCGAGTGCAGAAAGGCATGAGATGAGACACATATACATATCTATATGTATATGGGTATTTGTTTCTAGAGAGAAGTACGACAGCTCGAACAAATCGGTCTGCACCCCGAAGGCATATGACATCGACAGAGCGTGCGTGGCTAACTCACCGAAAATGGAGATGGCTGACAGCCAAAAATCGGTGGGGGGCAAAAACAGAAAGAATGAGGGGAGTGCCTTAACGCGCTCCCAGCCCCGAAGATTCGTAAAGCCAGCCTTCATTGAGGCCACAAAATCTGCAGCTGGAGATATTCCTTCGGACCCGATAAGGCCTTTGTTCTGCAGCGCAGACAAACACCCGCGGTAGAAGTGCCAGGGGACGTCCTGAGGGGCTTTTGCGCGTAACATGTTGAGCACTGTGCCTCCTCATTTGTTGCATGCAAACTGCGTAGGCTGTATTTTCAGCAGGCAGCACAGGTATTCCGATAGCGGATGCTCGCATGTACTTTTGCTCCATGTGGAACTGCTTGCTGGAGCTTTTCAGATATCAATGCGTGTCCATCTACCAAGCCTAGAAGTGCTGTGGCTTGTACGTTCGAGGCAATCTAGGGATGAGTGTGTCTTGCCTGATTAAAAGCGGTGAGGAAGGCAAAGAAGTAAACCAGGGAAAGAAGCCGTAGGAAGAGCTGTGGCGCACAGAGATATAACACGAGTCCACACAGCTCAGCGAGGGCACTTCAAAGTTCCCCATCCATCTTTCAGCGGGATATCCTTTATCATTTAGAAAATGGGGTTGCTAGAGACCCCTAACGCACTCCCTAATCAACTGCAACACAGGTCCAAGACGCACTATCCGAGAGAGCCAGAAGGTTTGCTTCATCTTTCTCAAGGTGTCCTTCCCCAGCGGGATGCAGCGAGCTTCTCTCCAGGTCCACGATGGATTGACTCTGCTTAGGAACTGCTGACAGCGCAGTTCGCACCCCTCATAGTTCACCCCGCATTTTTGACACAGCCCTGATAGCATCTTGCGTCCAAAGCAGTTCTCTCGGCTATTCTTTGCGTGGCGTTGCTTGAAGGCCGCCTCGGGCAGATCTACGACAGCTTCCATGGCACCTCCATGAGGTGGGGAGGAGGGAGAAAAAGCCGTTTCTCCGGCATCTTCCGTCTTGCTGCTGTGCATCATCACCTACCGGCCGCTTCAATCAGCCGTTGGCTCCCCCGTCTGCTGCCCTCGCAATGAGGCCCCCCGGCTGCAGCGCCTTATTAGGCCTCCTCGTTGACGCCTTTCTTCCTTTGGTCCGGCTGCTACTTGGTTCTCGAGTTTCCCTGTGTCTCTACGGCCCTTGCCGAGCAACAGCCCGCGATATATGCCCACTGGCCGCAAGAGCTTACAGCGGGCGACTATGCATCACAGACAAACTGTTGCATGAAGCAAAGCCTTCGAATAACTTCTAAAAGGATTGCAGCGCAGTGCCCTCCGTAAATGGCTCAGACCAATGGAGCCCCTCCGCACCAGCGGTCGGTGCCTCATAACCGGCTACGGCACAGGGCGAGGGGTTAATATGCCGGTTAATACAACTCTCTGAGTGTCATTGGTTCTAAAAATGCATTTAAAAGCTTGTATGAGCAAAGGGATGAAAGAGAACCACAAAGCTTTCGCTATATTCTTGCGGTAACATTTGGTCTTTCCCGTGGCCCTGTCTATCGGGCCTTCCACACCTTTGAGCAATCGAGCGGGTAATTCCCACCCCAATACGGAAATCTTTACACAAGTAAAAAATTCAAATAAGATCCTTAATTTGAACCTGTGTTTTTCGAGTCGAGGGGATTTCGGCCACTTCTTTCAGAATCCTTCACCAACGGTGGCCCTGCCGGCTGTCTCACTGAGGAGCGGTATCTGATATTCCGATCTGAGCCATTTGGCTACAATACGCTAGAACGGCCCCTACTTGGCAAGCAGTAATTAGATGATTCTAGTGGTAGACATCCTACCGCTGTTTAGTTTCGCGCAGACGTAGGAGGAAGCAGGTTCCCACGCCACGTAAAATCTCAGAGGTTCATGAAAAAACAACCGTCATTTCATCTATTGAGCAAGCAAAACCATCCCGATGAGCTTTACTAATGCACAATACACAAGCCATACCGGGAGACCCTCCCCTGCTATTTTCATGCAAATCAATAGGACTTCTGCGTTCTGTCTAACGCTGAACGACCAAACCACCCTCGGGTTGACTAATTTCCAAACAACTCTCAAAGACTTCTGTGCACTAATCGAAACGCTGAATCTATAGCAGTAGCCCCTTTCTGTTCTGCTCTTGCCCCCGACCAAAACTGCTCCCATGAGCAGTCTCAAAACACAGGAGGAGTGTTGGTGGAAAAGCTACACGCTTAAGCAATTTGAACTACACTAGCTATCGTTAAGCAATAACTTGAGTAGTTCGTTTGGCGGGTCCTAGGTTTTGCTTGCTGCAAAGCTTTTTTTGCTGAGTATGCACCTGCAGAGAGTGTTTGGAATGCATGAGGGGTGCAGGTACGCGCACCCAAAGTGCCCCTATCATCTCATGTGGAGAACTTTAGGGACGCAGGCGCAGAAACAGAAAGCTCTTTAAAGTACACTAATCAGCGTCTCAATATATTTGTTTACGGGCCAGGAGTGAAGTGTCTCCTCCCCATGGAGGCCTTAGACGAAAAGCTTTCTAAGGAGTCATCCATTTCAAACTCTAGGAAGCAAGCAAGAGCACCCACGTGGAAGTGGAAGCAATCGGCACGCTTTTGCAATGCAGCACTGTGCGGGTTGAATTGCTTTTGTGTGTCATCTGCTACTGACTTCGGTGCCTTACAAGTAGCCCTCGTAGGTTGTCTCTCTTTGCCCCTTGTGTCTGATGATGCCCCTCTACTTCACCAGTTACTTACAGGCGACTGCAGAACAGGCCCATAGGAGAGACTTAAGAAATATGCTGCTTACAAATTCAAGCGGCTGGAAAACGTGGAACAGCAAAACAAAGGCCAGCTCAGGGACGGCAGCATACAGATTCCCCTGTGTAGGTGAGCCTTCTGAAATATGAATGCGCTGGACTGTCTGCGCTAAAGTGCTTAATCAGACCAAGCGCCAGGCGATTTTGGTAAAGCGGCTTGCATAGCGTTACGCGCGTGAAGGGCAGCCGCATCACGTCCTTTGAAGGCTGTACTCTTAGTGTGCAATTGCAGCCTACCCAAGACAGCCAGGGGAGGACGAGGCTCAACGGAGTAGACAGGCGCAGTCCTGCTGCTGCTTACTCAACTCTCGCTTTTACGAAAGCACCTCTAAGCAAAGGAACCCTGCTCTTCCCCCCCTGCCCTCCCAGCCCCTTTTTCCCTCTGCGTGTAGCTACAACCTTTGCTCGCCACGGAGGAACTATCGTTCTGGTGCCTCAAGGAACTCCGAAAGCGGAGAGCTGTAGAACGCTGATTGCGAAACGACAGAGGCTACTATTGACCAAAGTCGGGCTTCTCCAGCAGCAGCAAGACGAGAGTGCGTTCTCCTCCCTATCAGCTTGATCGCTTTCGCTTACTGCTGCTCCCCCCACCCCCCCCCGCAGGCAAACCCGACGAGGCAGTCGAATCCTTTCAGTTGGGATATTTCCCACTACCCAAAGTTTCACGCCCTTGCCCTTGAAGCGACCCTCTGGCTCACGCTCACTCGCCTGCCCAGCTAGCTCTTCTATCTACAAGCTTTGACGCTCACTAAGCTGCTCTGCAGCACGAACAAACGATGCAAGACCGCGAATTGCAGTTCGGCCTGTAAAGTCAGTTCGGAACTGTAGTGACAGGCGAGAATTGTCTGGACACCTGATGCTTGCTAAAGTCACGGAATCCCACAGCTGCAAAGCCAGGTGCTGCAGCCCGCTCACACACACCGCCTTGCCCAGTCCCATGGAGGCATGCAACAGACACCCACCGCGAAAACAAACCACCCACCTGTGCGCTTTGGACGCTGGATGTCTCTGCCTGATATCTCAGCTGCTGTTTCGTGTGCTGTCGTCGGGTAGGCAGGCGTGCAGTTCTAACGCAGCGAGCAGAGCTACCCACAGCGAGACACTGCCTATAGGGGAACGCCTCAGAAGCCCCCAAAAGGCGTCGCGCATGCATGCAAGCATGCACGCAAGCATGCATGCAGAGGAACGCTCTCACACGTCAGTACGTGCCCCCACGGCCTGAAGAGGTTCTCAAAAGGTGTCCAAAGACTCTACAAAGTGCGGATGCTCAGAGCTCTCCGCGCACCGGTAGGAACGTGAAGGACAGGAGTGCTTCTAAGGCCAAACACAGGCACGAAGTTCATGCCTCAAACATCGTCAAAACTCCCGAGACTATGCGCGTCTTCAAGTCCTTACAGAGGCTTCCTCGCCTCCCCTATTATAGCCCAGTTGCGGATGCAGCCCGCGCCAAAAACACGTAAGCAGATCTGTTGTGAGCGCCTTCCGACTGTCAGGACCCTCTTGCAGACACCGGAGATAGCCGTAGTCACTACCTCCGGAGAGCTGTCATGTGGTGGGCAGCAGCCTTATGAGCGTCTGACACGCGAACGTAGCGGGCAAAAAAAAGGAAAGCAGACGGCATCAGAAAGAACTGTGCGCCGCTAAGAGGCCTGAAGCCTTCAAAGCTCCACGAGACTCTGCGCTATGGCAGCCTGCAGTACCGCCTCCTGCAGCACCAAATAGGCAACAGACAGCGACACATAAAGATCGATGCATGCGTCGGTGAAACCATGAAATGCAATAAAGGCACGCATGCACATACACACACATACACACAAACATACATCTACACATACATACACATATACACACACATACACATACATACACACATACACATACATACACACATACATACACACACATACACATACACACATACATCTACACATACAAACACACATAAACAAACAAACATAGACCTACACCTACACATACATACACACAAACATACATCTACACATACATACACATATACACACACATACACATACATACACACACATACATACACATACAAACATACACCTACACCTACACATACATACATACATACATCTACACATACAAACACACATACACAAACAAACATAGACCTACACCTACACATACATACACACATACATCTACACATACAAACACACATACACACAAACAAACATACACCTACACCTACACATAAACACATACAAATACACGCATACACACATTCATACACCTACACACCTACACATAAACACATACACATACACACAAAGCGGAGTTGCGGCCATAGAGAGTAAGTACATCTGGAGAAAAGGCTGAGTGTGACGCGTCCTACATCTGCATCCACTTGAATCCCTGCTGCCGCTGCTGCAGCTGCGACATCAGGGGCGGGATGCCTCGGGGGAGGTATTTCCACCACGTCTGGACTTGAGGATCGCGGTGAAACTGTGGTTGGAGCAAGAGGGCCCCCCCCTGTTCCTGCACCTGTAGACGGGGGCGCCTCCTCGTCTAGCTGCAAGCAATGCGTTGGACACAGCACAGAGAAAGCCGAAATCGAAGGGCTGAATTTCGCAGCAGATGAGGATGCGAGCACCGAAGAAGCAGTACTACGAATCGAGTAGACAGCGCCGCGCAGAAGCCCTCCCCCCTGCATGCCAGCGCCGCTTTTTGGCCTCCCTGCTGCTCTGCGCAGAAACTGTTGAATACACATCTCCCTCTGTCTAGCCCTCTCCCGCATGCGGCGGTGTTTTCGCCTGCCCGTTTCTTTGCATCTGCGTCCTTGCGCGAGAGGCACACTCTCAGCCTCCAAAACTTACCCCCAAAGGATTGGGATCCACTGGGATCGAGTTACTCCTACGATGAATGCTCCCGATATCCCCCCCGTCAGACCTGAGTGTAGGCAGCTCCCTCCTCAGCCTCTGCGCCCTCCTGTTCTCCTCTTGTTGCAGCCGCCTCGCCAGTTCGTCGTCAGTCAGCGCTTCCGTTGAAGAAGCACTGACAAGTCCACCCCCAAAGGAGGAGACTCCCCCCTGAAGGAGACCTCGCGCCGCAGCTGCAGCAGCGCGCATGCCCCCTGCGATGTTAAACCCTTCCTCTGCGAGGGGAGACGAAGGCTCCCCCAAAGTCTCCCCCCACTGAGACGGAGGTGCCCAGGGTGCTGCCTCGGAAGCACCCAAAAGACATTCCTGGTAAGTGGCATCTGGCTGTCGGACTTGCTCTAAGGCGTCAAACTCAGCCTGGAGACGCCGCGCAGCTGCCTCGTTGAGCGCTTCCTCATCTGTTGATTGAGGGGCAGCACCCTCCCCAGGAGGCACCGACGCCAGCGCTACGGGGGGACTGCTGGAAACGACAGGGGAAAGGGGCGAGGCAGCCGATGCTGCTCCTCTCGAATGCTGGGGTGCCTGCGCCTTGGGAAACTGACTGGACTGCGGTGAAGGCGACGCTGCAGGGGCAGACACAGGGGCCCTTTCCCCACTTGCTTGCTCATTCGCGGTACATGCCGCTTTGCCCCCTGCACCACCCGCTGCGACTGCGGCTACTGCTGCTGCTGCTGCTGCTGCTGCTGCCCCTTCCCTTTCGGCTGCTTCTGCCGCACGGCGCTGCTCCCAAGCAATGCGATGCCTGTTTCTATAGCTCTCATCCATCTTGCAGCAACTGGAGGTACGCCTTGAGCTGCAAAGCGTCGGCTCTGGCTCTGAGTCCACCACCCCTCAGCCTCAAGGCGCTGCACAAGCCAAAGAAGCCGCCTGCTGTACCAACAGCTGCTGGAGCTGCCGCCACTGCGATTCGTGCGGCGTCAACTGCAACTCGAACAGCTGTCGTTTAGGCAGCTCGTGCAGCCGCTCTTGCGCGTATTGTCTTCCGTCGTTCGTCCTCTCGCTGCCGCTCCGGTAGCTGCCGGCCGCTGCAGCAGCGGCAGCCTGCGCAGGGGGGAGACAGGCAGACGGCGCTGCCTTTTGCAGAACAAACTGGGCCCTACTTTCGAGCTTTCAATGCGAAGAAAAGCGAAAGGCTGTTAATCTGCTGATGCCACCATCATCAGAGGCGCCTGAAGCCCTGAAGGGGCCCCCCTCCTGCCTGCAGCGCCACACGATGGCGGCTGCTGCCAGAGGGGCCCTCGCATTTTGCTCGTGTGCTGCTCTTTCTTCTGGATAATAGCTGTCATCCCTGGCCGCGAGCTCAAAAGAATTTGTTGGTAGCTGTCGTGCGCGCGGGGGTTGCCTCTCGTGCCGGTAGGGGGGCAGACACGCAGACGTGAACGGCCAGCAAAACGTCACGTAGAACAGCGGCTATCCCCCGCCATGCCTCCAAGGCATTTAAAAATGGTGTTTTAACCGCAACTCCAACGAGGCCTTCCACCTTTGGCCTAAGGCCGCATAGAGTTTTGTGGATGCATCGGCCATAGACGAACGCGCAAGGTGGGGTGCAGCTAGGTGTCCAGTTCCTCAGAGCCACTTACAGGCTCAGATTGCTCACTACTCATTGCTCACAACTCATTGCTCACAACTCATTGCTCACAACTCACTGCTCACACGAAGGTCCCTCGCACGGGGCTTGCAGCGTAGCGGAAGCAGCTAAAAAAAATTAAGGCTATAGGGCACTGATTGGATGCTGCATGTACAGCGATAAATCACCAGGGCCCTCGCATATATATGTATGCCGCTCAAGCGCTGACTGCCTTGCAGCGGCGGGGGGAATTTTATTGCCGGTAGATGACTGCATGGACGCTCAAATGCCACTCGCCTTTGGAGGCAAGCCACCGTGGCGGTGGCCTTTGGGCCCAAACATGGTGGATCAAAAGGCCACTGCTAACTCTAAAATTGTACCTGGATCATCTGATTGTGGGGATGCCGGGGGTCCACGTGCTACGCTGGCTGTTTATGGGCCGGCTTAATACCCTGCTTTGGCAAGTGTTCTTTGTTACGTCTGTGCTGCTCCAATCAGGGGCACCCTAGGGAGACACTTAGGCCGACTCCAATGCAAAACTTCCTGCAAAGCTGTTGAGTGTCTGCAAAGGAAAGCTGTCCCCCCTCCATGCCCGCCTTCCTTGTGTAAAGCTCCAATTAGCCAATAGTTTCCAAGTCACAGCTACGTAGAACTGCAGTGCAGTAGGAAGTGCTGAAGCGTAACTGGGCTCGCTACAAGGAGCTCAGACGCAGATGGTTCATATGCTCGCTTGTCGTATTTGCTGCAAAGGACAGCCCGATCGATCAAGAGGAAGCACGCAGGGTTGTGTGTATTCGTCCTCGCGCCAGATGCTACCTGCAACTAGCTGAGAAGACTCGAAAGGCTTCCAGAGTGCAAGGACGCGAATCCATCCCAAATGCGTCTGTAGTCCTCTTGCAGGACCGTAGGACCGCGAGCAGGGAAAGAGTAAGTTTTATCGAAAACACGCAAAACCAACTTCCTATGAAGTCTGCATCGAATCTAAAGTCATGTGTCTCCCTACGGAGATCTTAGATGGGACTTTACACTGAGCGAGAATGATCTGAGCTGCCGTCCTTTTCAACTAGAAATGAAGCCGAGAAGAACAAATTGACTCCCTCAGCCGGAGCCTCTTCAAACCCTGAACGGGAAGCCCAGTTACTGGCTTTTGCCTTTTCCGCGGCTTTAAGATTTAGCAGCAACTGCGCAGACTCTCCTCCTGCACAAAGACCATTGGATTTCTCTCTCGCTTTGTGTGTATTCCTTCTCCAGTCTTTGTGCAAACGACGGGAGGGGCATAACTGAAGAGCAACAATATTCTCCAGTGGGCAGGCCCATTTGGTGATACACACACATCCCCTCCCTTACTATGAAGCATCTTAGCAACTCACGTTAAACGAGTTCGCACAATTCCAGGCCGTATGTATGCTGAGTATTGGATGATCTGTAGACAGACCTCCCTTTGAGTACGAACTGGGCAGCAATAACTGCAACAAATGCCGAGCCGGCCTTCAAAATGCCCGTATGACATCCGTTGTGCCGACCAATATCAGGATGTTTTCCAACCTACACTTCACTACTACCCAAAATCACGCCTACCAAAATCGTAGCACTGAACAACTGGCGCTAAAAACCTCAAATGTCAAACACTGACGATCCGAAAGTTCAAGAGTGTTGCAAAAGAGAAAGCCAAATGTAACAACGGCGCACGCAGGCCCCTGTCCGTCGAGGCAAGAGGGAGGCGGCCTCGTGGATAGACGAGAGGGCGTCGGGAAGAGCAGTGTGAGCTTGTGTGAAAAGACCACAACTTCTTTGGCAAACGTACAGAGCAGCTGGTGAGTCCAAGAGTTACTGTATCGACACCTCTCACCGCAGCACCTTTTCTCCCTCCAATATCTGCTTCAGGTCGCCTAGCCGAGCCTCTCCCCGCAGTAAGGGACGCGAGTAGCTAAACCTTTTGCTCCCACTTTATGCTTCCCCTTTCACCCCCCAAAAAAACATCCCTCTCTTCCCGTGCAGCCTGTCTGTCATGCGCCTCACTGCCTTTGGCTCTCCGCGCCGGTGATATCGCCAAATGCGATTTGTGCGTTCCTGATCCACCTGATAGTGCCTAGTACCTGCTGAGCGAGTCTTTCTTCTCTTTCTTTCTCGGAGCTGACAACAAAACGACGTTCATTCATATGCGCACAGGCCTTGATGTGTTGCTGCTGGAGGACTGCAACGGCTTCCGCAGCACGTGTGTAGTGATTATCTACGTCTTCTTTGAACTTTGCAAAGAACTCTGCCTTTCGATCTCGGTCTAGCAGTTCCTCAGATGTCTTGAGGCGCCTATGCGCCAGCGCCAAGGAGGAGCTGTTCTTTAAGAAAGACGCCATTAGGCGAGTTCGCGCCTCAGAGGTCCTCTCGGTATCATCTGCTGCTCTACCACCATCGCCGATGGGAGTATCCCCAAACGAAGAAATCATGGTAGTAACCTCCTTTGTGGCTTCCAACACGGCTGACCTCGCGAATATCTCGTCCATGGTGACCCCCCGAGGGCTTCCCAAATTTCAGCGCGCCAATCCTCAAAGGCTTGGTGGATTGAATGTATCGCGCTATCGGCATCTTCTACCGCCACCTTCAGTCCTTTCTTGGCGAGAGACTCCTTTGTACGTACCTGCAACAGTGAGGCCTGCACGTTCTTAAGGTCTTCTTCTACCCGCTGCTTGCGTCGAAGCATTTCCGCAGCGGCTCCCAGAAGCGCCAGCTCCCACTTTTTCTCTCTGTCAGAGGCAGTGCCCTCAAGAATGGCAGCCGCTTTGGTGTCTGAAACGTCCACGCTGACGCCGATGCTGTACGCAGCCCGCTCATACCACTCTGAGAAATCGTCACTGCCCTCCTTTCCTGCTCCATACTCGACGCCTTCAGGTTGCGAGCCCCTCTGCGCCTCTTCGCAGTCCCTCAAAATGCCTTGACTACGCGTTCATCATCATTGCTGGTGCTACCTTGCTGCAGTTTTAGCACCTGTTGCTCCGACTGCCCCACTGTGCACGTGTCCTCAGTGCCGGGGAGGGCTCGAGAGACTTGGGGAGTCTTCGACACTGCCTGGCCGTCAACAAGTGGCGCTTCAAGCACTCTCGCGTTTCCGCTGATGGTCGACAGTGCAGCGGCGTCGGATGGAAGAGCATCTACGATGCGTTCAATCTCGCGCTCAGTGCCTTGCATCTCGTTCTTCCGAGCATCGATGTCCTTCTGGAGATCGAGATGCTGCCTGAACAGCTGAGATTCTTTTTGCAGACGGCCCAGCAGTTTTCCCGTCAAGATCCGGTGAAGAACACGGTGCAGCTCGAGACTCCTCTGCTTTTCGTCCTCTTGGGTGGCGCCTCGAGTTACTAGGCACACGGCGACGAATAGAGCACCCCACAGAAGCATCTGCTCGGAGAAGAGCGATTGCACGATGCCGCCATGCTCCCCCTGACGGCGGAACGCGAGGATGGGAGGCACTGCGGGGTGCTCTCCAGGATAGAGGGGCCATAAACAGACTCCTCGCTGGACATGTCGGCTGCAGACCTCGTAGGTTCGTGTCTAGGCAGTTGCTTTTGCGGCAAGCCGCTGCTCGTTGAGGCCTCCTTGCCTATGATGAACGAGGAAGCGAGAGATCCTCGCTCCTGGGGTAGCTGCACGGAAGGCTTGGCAACCCCGAAGACTACTGCCGCTGCTCATGACGGCGCAAGCAGCTCGTGCAGAAAAGAGAATGCCACTGCGGACAGGCAACAAGCGCCAAAAAACCACAGCAAGCCGGGAGGCATCCCCCTAAGGCCGCCCTCCTCTCACACTCAGGTAGGCAGGCAGAGTCAGCTCCCCGAGGATCGACAGATCGGGGCAACAGGCAGCACGACGTGCGCAAAAAACAGCGGTCCGGAGAGCGTGGAGAAGGAGAAGGGAGAGCAAGAAGAAGAATAAACTCTTAGAAGGCTAGAGCGCACCTTAAAAATGCGGCAAAAGGGCTACAAATCACGAATCGACACTGTCTGGGCAGCCTCGTAACAAGGACGCCATGCGACCCTCTCCAGGACGCTGGGGAGCGCTTTGCGAAGAAATAATCGCAGACGCAGCATGAAACCTTTTCGCTATTGCAAGGGAATCAAAGCGAAGAAGATGAGAAAGCGCCGCCTAGCGTCCATACCTAGGGATTATGTGCTCGCTGGCCTCCAAGGGGGTCCTGATGAGCAGAAGACAGAAATGGGGAAGAAGAGGGGTCGGTAGGAAGTTTTCCGAGAAAAGATTTGAGCCCTTCTTAGTGCTGACGACTGTGAAACCCCTCTAAAATCGAGCGCATCGTACAGACGTTCACTTTTTGGAAAATAAGAAGCTTCGCACATAAAACGGAGCCCATGGGCAAAGGCTCCTCCAGCCTCGGTGCGTTTGAGGGCTTTGCTAGCTTCCACCCTTTCTTTGCCGTCCGTGCATCTTTCCCAGCCATTTCCACCCTTTCTTGCGGAGGCCCTATCTTTCCTCTTTATTAATGCCCTTCTTTCTGGCCTTGCCCGTCTCGACTGCCGCCGCAATCTGTTTTGATAACGCCAGTTCGCCATGTTGCCATGACTTCACGCAGCGCGGGATGCTTTCCCTCAATCCCCATGCACAGTCCTGGCATTCGCGGCTTGGCGGTGGCTCTTTGGGGCCTTTTGAATGGCAGAACGCTTGCACCTGCTGCTGCCCTCCTTGTGGTGGGGTTCTCGGAGACGCTCGCAGCTGCAACGGCGAACGTCGAGGGCAGTCGAGTTGCACAGGAGGGCAGCCGTAGCACTCAACAGGGAGAACACGCCAGCCACACGAGCGCTCCCCCTTCGCGAGAAGGGGGGGAAATCCCCCTCGGTGGAGCTATTTTGGAACCTGCGAGCAGCGTCGGTGTCGCTTGCAGCGATGGCAACGATGACGAGGAAGAAGAAGGCGACGACGATGAGGAAGGAAAGTGGAGGGCTCGATGGGCAGATGAGGAAAGAAAGTGGAGGGTTCGATGGGCAGATGAGGAGGGGAAGCCTCTTTATGAAATATTTGATTCGAATACCAAGCCAGAATCGAACACCGCGCTGCAGAGCTCCAAGGGGCCCTCACGCGGCATCTTGGTAAGACCCTCTCCAGAGCCGCAGTCTATCGACTGGCAAGAGCCATTCAAGATATGGGATTTCGACGAAAATCCGTGGACGCCCACGGAGGATATGCTGGAAGGCTCCGTGTCGACTTTGGATGCAATTCAGGAAGCCGTCTTGCCGAAGGTCGCATTCGGGCTGGCGCTGCTGGTGCTGCTGCTCGTTGCCTTAATAGGCCCCTTAACGGCCTCCAAGAATGCCAAGATAGCCGCTAGATGACGGGAAGTGGCAGATATACAGCGGAGAACGCAGTTGCCGGAGGAGCGGATGCAGCAGCTGCGCAGCGATATCGCTTCTTTGACGGCGGAGAAGGATTTTTAAAGTGTGTACGTGCTGTCGCGTAAGGAGTGCCTTGAGGCTCTTGAAAGCGTGAAAAAAAACAGCGCTCGGAGGCGAAAGTACTTCAGAGAGCTCTTCTTCCATGCTCACTCACCTTGATCCGGATCGGGGTCTCTTGAACGACCCCACGGAGATGCTCATTCGGATGGTGCGAGAGAGCATCGAGAACCTTCAGTATTTTCCGAGTAACATTCATGGATTGATCAAATTACTTGAAGCGCAGCAGGAGGCCTTCGAAAGGTGGCACGCCGAGAAGGTCTTTTCTCAGAGGGATGCACATAGTGGCGAGCCGGTGTGGATCCACGAGGGACGTAGGGAATCCGCCGAGGATTCGCGACTGTTCTTGCGGGCTGTGGAGAAGGTTCAATCGGCGATCGATAAACTTCCGCAGGGAGGCACCTTAGACCTTGTATTGGAGAAGGCACGCCACCTTTTCGTGTATGGATTGCTAGTGCAACACAAGCAGGAGCTGCACCTGGACGCTGCAAGGAATCAAACGATCGTGGATCGCATCTCGAGAAACAACGAGCTGGTGGCTCCCCTCCTGGCCATGCATAGGCAAGAAATTCAGGAGAGCATTCGCAACTACCTTGAGGCAATGCGAGAAGCCCAGTCTCTGGAAATAGACTCTGCCGTAGCATCGCCAGAAGTGCTGGAAAACTTCGAAAGCTTCCTGACAACCATCAGCTTGGAAAAGCTTAATGCTCTAGCAGAGGCCTTGCACCATCCCACACACAGCGCGAATCCCATGCGGCTGGTGGTATCTATCACTTCGCAGTTGAATGCCATCGGGGCAGTTTTGCCCAAACTGGCTACGCCGGAGGCTTCTCTACAGTCTCGATTTTCTGAGATGCAGGCTTCAAATCTTCCAGAGCTTCTGGTGCTGGCTAGCACATTAGGACACGCGTTCAGTCGTATCAGCTCCGAGAGAGACAAGTTGGTGCAAGTGCTCGTTGCAGCGGCGGAGGAGTTTGCACTCGCTACGCGGGAAGCAGCAGTAGAGCAATCGAAGGCACAGAAGTACGAGGACGCAATAACCAACAGACTGGAGGCGATAAGGGCCATGCGCCCTCTCATCGACAAAGCGAGAGAATTAGCGCTCCAGGGCGTGCGGTGAGCCGCCAACGGCTCCCAGAGCAGGCATTTGAGAAGAGATTTCCCTAGTACCGCTGCTAGTGTTCGCCTGTAATGACGGACTTGACAGGTTAAACGGATTTGTCGCTTGGTAGGCGACTGTCGGCGGCAAGAAGACGATCTTCGCATGTAGATCGCAGGCACTGTTTGAATATACATGCAGTATCTATATGTGCAGCTCCTCGCTTTGAGTTCACCGTTCATGACTTGAGCCGAGGCACTGCAAAGAACTAGCCTTTTGCACGATCACTAATTTATTTTCCCTCATGTAGCTAGTATACCGCCAGGTGGAGGCTGGTGCCTAGTCCGTAGTATGGATCATGCAACACATAAAATGGCAAGAGTAGAACGCCAGCTGGGCAGTACGAGAGCGAAATGCTTGTTCTGGGGGGGGGGGGCCGTTGTGTGCCAGGTACGGCAGGCAGGACGCACACATACAAAATTCGGAGAGAGCTATACAACTATACCGTAACATGCACAAGGAACCGAAAGGTCAGAATCTTGGACAGTAGAATATCAGTGCGACGGATCCTGCGGGCTTCACGCTCTGAAGTAGCTTGGGGTGGACGGGGGATGGATCGCCGGTTCACCATGTGGCTAAAGAATACTCCAAGGGCGTACTGCTGTTTATTTACGGCCCCATCACTGCGGTTTTTTAATCGAGGAAACTCCTAATGAACATTTTTCTTGTACCCAGCTGTGATCAACCGGATCCGTTGAACACTTCGCTAGCCGAGGAAGATTATGGTGGACCCACGAAGGAATAATAAAGAAGTTAAAATTCAAGTGTAGGAGCCAACTGAGCAATTCAAGGGGCGGCTCGGGATGAATTCGGCTTTCTTGTGTTTCACGCCACCCGGTTATTTGTTGTTGTTTCGTGCCTGAGGGCCTGGTGCCTCGAAGACTCCAAGCATTACAGCAAAACGTGTATGACAGCACCCAAACCAAGAAAGGGAGACGAAGACATTGGAGCAGGGGATGTGTGACTTTAAAAGTCAATGCTGGTGTGTCCTAGTTTGAACAAAAAATAGTGGGAACGCATAAGCAAGCCTAAAGATCTAGGATTCTTTTCCTTCAGGCTCGTCATGAAGGAAGAGGTGCCTATTGGCATCCTCAGTGCTCTCCGCATAGAAAATGAGCTGCTGTGGGCCAGATATTCGATTTCATGCAAACTATAGCCCTTTTCTATCCCCGCCGCGAGATTGCTTGTTACCTGTAGCTACGACCGGCTTGCGGGATTAGCTCGCGGCCTTTGCGCGCAGATGCTTATGTGAAGCTTACTCATACACCCCGGACAAAATTGAAGCCCATGCAATTCAAGCAGATGCGTATTATATAGTTCATTTTCTATCCTAGCGAGGAACAACAAAACGCGCGTTTCCGCTGCAGTGTATCTAGCGGCAGTGTGCAGCAAATATTTGAATGCATTGGGTCTCCTCGTAAGACTGAACTTGCATTCCTTTGAGACGAGTGGCCCAAGAAGAGTAAAGATACAGCACTTTGTCGTGAGGCTAAAGTTAAGGACGTCGAAGAAGTTCTTGTGCGTGCACCTTAGTTTCTCTGAAAATAGTACTAACGACTGGATGAATACATTTCTAAGGTCCTGTGACAACAAAGCCTTAACCGAAGATAATCTCCCTTTATTTTGACCTTTCCGCTTTCCTTCTGAACCCCTAAGACTTCAAGCGCCTCGTTCCTCGAACACTGCGTACTGTGAGGTCATTTGCCAGTAACCCTACGGCAGAATGCCGCTCCTGATAGTCATGCAAGGATTTTAAAAGTCGATTTAGAAATTTTATTACATTCAAACCTCCCTTGTTCAAACTCGAGCACGGCCTTCACGGCAAAACATGCAATGGCCCGACGTCGCAAGGGGTCCTTCCTTAGGATTCAGTGAAACAACACAGAAACAACTCGCTGCACAGAAATCTCAAGCCGTTCATATTGTAAGCTTTTGCACTGCTATTTCGTCAAGGTGAGCCAAGTGCCTTGCCGAAAGGGGCAGAAGGCTTCTCCAATGCCTAAGGTCACTTTCTCACTACTGACGACGCTAGGCATGTCAGAGTCCAGAACAACACGGGGCCTGAGAGCCTTCTTCTGCCTTTACTACTACTGCTTGCCTACTATTGTCGCTTGTTCTTTTGCAGAAGTTCCTGCACAAATGCCTCAGCCGGAGACTCGTGGGATTGCCCCAATCGCGATCGAGCCGGTGGCAGAGCTACTCCCACAGACAGAAGCTCTGAAGGCTCTCCTTCAGCAGAAACGAGAACAGGTTTTTTTGCACGTTGAGCTTGAAAACACTGGGCCTTTAATCCGCGCGGGGGATGTCCTTTTGGCCGTACACAGCGATTCCTCCCCCTACTGTGTTTTATTTAGGCAGTTTAGCATACCAGAGCCTGCCGCGAAGCTTGCAAGCCGTCGCAGAGGGCACACCACCTAGAAACTGTGCACGATTTTCCGAGCGGGCTCAGCCAGAATGAGATGACGTGATCTGCCTCGAGCACTGGAGGAAGCACGATCGTTGGCTGCCCCTCCGGCGCCAGGCAGTGTGTCTATGTCTCTCTGTCTCCCCACTCGCTCAAGCGTGCCGACGAACGAGTGGTGTGCCTCAGAAAAGCCTTGTCGGTTGCTTGGGTGCTCTGCTTCCTAGGACTGCAGCCATAAGCGCGTGTGAGTTGGATCCTCAGGAACGACTGCAAGAGCAAGAAGAAGGCGAGCGTCTGCAGGACCAACGACTAAGAGCCTTGGAACTCAGGCGGCAGGATGAGTTGCTGCGGAAGAGCAAGATGCAGCGGAAAATGCTGCGGGATGCTCAAGAGCGGCAACGCCGAGAGGAAGAAGGAAGGTCACGACAGGACCCCAGCTTTACGTCTTTTTTGCGCCTTCGAAGGTGTGCAGAAAGCAGGGACGGCGAGATCGCGAGCCACTGCAGATTATCAGGAGGAAAAAACTTCCCTACGCATCTCTCCATGGGGGCTTTGAGCCTTAACGCAATACAGATAAGGATACTCCTAAGGGAGGTCCTCGCTGAAACAAGCGAAATCGAGGAACTCGGTGAGCAAAGGGCGTTCATAGGGCCGTAAAAGCGCGTCTCCCCCGTCGGTCAAGGGGGCTGCTGAAGGGGCAGTCAAGACGCTTGTCTCAGTCTGCACACGAGATGCTGCCGATTAGCATTGGATTACTGCAGCGCAAGGTCCCATAGGCGGCTTATCCGTGAAGACCTCGATGCATGCCTTGGAGGCTGGTTTAATACGGTATGCTCCTTGTCCGTTGTGCAGTGGCTGGTGTGGATCTCAGATCTCGGTCGAGCCAATTTGACAGATGATGACGGTCCTGGGATTTGCAGTGCCTTGCGTTGCTTGAGAAATCTCAAGACGCTCTCTCTTGAGTCAAACCACCTGGGTGCATCTACGGCCATTGCTTTGAGGAAATACTTGGAGGTAACGGCCAGCGCACAAAACTGTAGCCTGGCAACAGCCAATTCTTTTTGAAGGGTTTCACTGCTCTTGGTGCTCCATAGTTGCGAGCCCATGGTGCTGCTGGCACCTGAAGCTGCAAATTGCACGGAGGGTCCATACTCGGGTGTCGCGCGTGGTTCGGGGATAGCCCTTCACGAAGAATGTGGCCTTTGCATGGAGGGAGGACTCTTAGCGCCTTTTCACGAGCTGCGTAGGACTCGTATCAACAGCAGAGACAGAGAGAGAGAGAGACAGAGGCAGACAGACAGAGAGAGAGAGAGAGAGCAGAAGCAGCAGCAGCACCATAGGGTGGTGTTTTCCTGTTTGTCATGCTGACCCACTGTGGCGATGATGCTGCAGGCAAGCTCAACGCTGGAGTCTCTAGACTTGTGCGGGTGCCGTCTAGGAGGTCTTCAGGGCATCGAAGAGCTCTGTAGAGCTCTCAGAAACAATCGAACTCTAAAGCACCTGTCCTTAAGAGACGTGCAAATTGACCAAGTAAACACCAGGCACAGGCGCGCAGTTTAGGCTTATGGCGGCTTCGGGTTTACGGCGTGAGACTTATGGCACTGCTCGTAGTGTCTGGAGCATCACTCACAGATGTAACTTTGCCGCTCACGAAGAAAAGGAGCTACTGCTGCCGCCTCTTTGTTGCCTGCTGCTGCGGCGTGCCCGTGTGTCAAGGCATTCGCTACTTAGGACGCATACTACAGCATGGAATTTCACGATGCTCGATGATGCATTTGAGGTTCATTGCACGCGGCAAAAATTCCTTTATCCCTGTAGGCTGGAGGTTTACTCCTAGTTGAGAGTCTCCGCAACAACAGCACACTGGAGTCTCTTGATATCTGCAGCAACGCCCTAAGTAAGACAAGTGCCCTCAAAGCGGCTCACTCACTAGTCTGCTGAATGAGTCAAACATGGGTGAGCCTGATGCTTAGCTTGCCAAACCTGGTTATTTCCGGGTGTACCAGCCGCTACAGCAGCACAAAAAGCAGGAGGCAACTCACCAGCACCTCTGTGAGCTATTCTCTTTCTCTAAATGAGACGTGATAATTCTCCGGTAAAGCCACGTCACTGCAAATGTCACTGTGCCGCATTATGTGGAAGTTGTGGCCGGTACAGCCCCCGAGCAACACCGGCTCTTGGGAGATATAGTGGGAGCAAATCGTCGGCGTTGGAATGCCATGAGGGACAGGGAGACTATGGAAAGGGCCCTAATGGCTCGCGAGGAAGCCGACACCAAGGCGTTTAATATGGAGCTCGAGGGTTTAAGGTCTGCCACTGCTCCTCAGCTTCCGTTGGTCGGGAACCTTTCCCTCAAGTGCCAGCCAGCCTTCTAGCATTTTTCGTCCTCGCCTGTAAAAGCAACTTACGGCAGGGTCATCTAGAAAGCACGCACATTAGAACCATGTCTTCCAGATATCCGCAGCAGGGGCTGCCCGCACCATCATGAGTAGACACCTTGGAAGCCTGCTTGCACAGCCAACGCCGTGTGTTGCCGCTGCTGCCACCTAACGCCTCTTAGGATGATGTGACCCTCGGCGAACTTTCGGGTTTGTTGAGAGGTGGTCTGTCCGTTAGGTGTTTAGGCGCGAGTGGTGCGCAATGAAAGGGGGGTTAAGATACGAAAAGGACTTGGGATGGTGCTTTGCAGGATGGCCGTCGAGGGAAGCGAGAGCCGCAGCCTTGCCAGAGAAGCCGTAGGCTAATCATGCCACGCTATAACCATCACTAGGGTAGCTAGTCGTTCCTTCACCGATACCATAGCCGAGACGATGGTGGTCTTATTGGGTAGCTGATTGGGGTGAAGCATGTCAGCGTTGGTTTTGGGTGGGTGTCGCTGCACTGCGAGCCTACGCGTTGAGAGGGCATATACATATATATATATACCGCATTTGGCCGCTCCTCCACTAACCTGCGTTCTCATGGGCTAGCCCTCTTCCCCTCACCTCCCTCCCCCACCGTGTGCGTAGCGGGGGCTTTTTTGCTGAATGCATGGGCCGTGTATCACCCACCATCCAGATATTCGGCTTCGCATAGACGGACAGAGGGTCGTCCGGTGTCCCTACACCGTTTTTCTGAACTGCAATATTGCCTTGCCTTCAGGCAATGTTCGCCCAGTGGGAAAGACGACGTCATCAGGAAGCGGAGGAGCACGCAGAAGCTGTTGCTGCGTTGCAGCAGGTCTGCCCCTCTTCCCGTATCGCGGCCTGAGCAGCGTTGCTGCTGCTGCTGCTGCTGCTGCTTGCCCTCTACAATCCATTTACCCACTTGCCTGCTCCTCTTGGTCTGCGCCACCCCTTTCTCCTGCATGCGCCTGGCTGTGCCCTGCCGCTCTGCACCTGCCAACTCCTCCCATCCCTCCACGCCCGACTAAAAAGAACTGTAGCCGAAAACCTACCTACCACCTCTACCCACCACCAAAATTATACCACCATGCAGACCCCGCCTGCACCCGGACACGTATCGCAGTACAGCTGCAAGACAACAAAAGAGGGCGCTGCTGCCAGCTTTTTTGTCGTTCCCGCTGCTGTTTTTTGCGGCCGTTTCTTACGGCATTAGGCGTACGAGGACCGCAAGGCGGCTGCTCAGAAGTCGAAAGCTGGTAAGAGGCAAAAGAAGAAAAAGCGGTTCCCAGCATGACCCCCTCGCCCTAACCGTGGCTCGGCCTTCACTAAGGCATAGATCTATAAAAGGCCTAGGGGACGGCGAATACTTTGCGCGAAGCAGCGGGAGCTCCTGCTGCTGCTAAACTGCACTGTCCTCGCATCTGTCGCAACAACAGCAGCGTGTTGCGACAGGCATTTCTTGTGGGAAGGAATGAAAAAATAGCGTTTCCTTCGGCTCCCCCCTTTTAAGATCTATTGGGGAATTGTTGCCTGCAGATAAGCGTAAAAGCATCTTCTTACAAAAACAATAAACAAAAAACCCCATACAGTTACAAAACACCACTCCTCCCATCAGGGGAGGCAACGCCAGCCCTGAGGTTACAGCCGTTGCTGCTGCAAAGAAGGAGCAAGCAGCAGCAAATCAGGCCGTAGTGTCACTCCCCGAAGCGGATGCAGCAGCAGCTGCTGCTGCTGCATCCTCTTCTTCGCGCTGTTGCTGCTGCTTCTGCTGCTGCTTCTGCTCCTGCTGCCGACGTTCTGCCTGGACTCTCCTAGAAAGGTATTTGCTTAGGTACGAATTTTCACGGCATTCCAGATTGAAGGCGTCGCCAAGCAGCTGAGCTAGCTCCTGCGGGAAAAGGGCAGTGGCCGCATATAGGCGTCGCATTTTACACAGACCTTTCGCCCCCACAAAGGGGCAATACGACATGCAGCATGCGTAACAACACCACATCAAGAAGCAGCACGCCGAACGCAGATCCGCCTGCCTGGCGATAGATGCCAAGAGCATGCAGGTTGCAGGGGAACGAACACGAACGACAGAAAGCCAGGGCAGGCAGTCCCAAGAGATCCCCGCAGCATAACACGAGTTTTTCGCAGCAGCGTAAGGCAGCATGCACACAGAGAAGTCGCGCAAACAACGCGGAAAGCATGCATGCAGGCAAGCAGCAGACCGGCATGAACAGGTGCTCGCAAGAGCCAGCAGAAAAAACAGACAGCAGACGAACGACTAGCCGTAGTCTCATGAAGAGCATGCGCCAGCAGTCGTAGGCAAGCAACATGATGCAGCAGCATGGGGAGGGGCTGAAAGACACGTCGGGCTAAAAAAAATCCGGCTGCAGAAAACTCAATACGCATGTGTTGTCGTACCTTGTCATGAAGACCTTTGTCACCAACAGCCGTCGTGGCACTAACATCTCTGCCAACATAAAGCGGCCGCTCGATGTGGCTGGGGCAACCCAAGTGACGCAGACAAGATTCGATCCGCTTGCTTGTATAGAACCACGCGCCTGGAAAGAGCGAGGGAGAGAAGACAGAAAGTCGGAGTGTATATACACCCCAATACAGGACTAAGGTGCACACTCCATTCGCACCAAGAAACCGCCGAAAAACACGCACTCAATGCAGCAAGTACACACTCCAATACATCCTCAACACATCCACTCCACCCTTTGCAGCCCGCAATCGCGCCGAACGGCAGAGGAGGAAGCCGCAGGCTCAAGGGCGAGTTCAACGAGGCGCAGAAAGATACACATACACGCACAAACGGAGGCAGGAGCACGATACATCCATGAAAAGAAGCGGCACCCTTTGTGAGGGCTGTGCGCTTTTTTTCTGGCTCCTGCGGTATGGCCTTGTTGAGATCGAAGACGGGCACGACTGCTCAGGCTTTCCAAAACTGCTGCTGATTTCTCGCCAACCAAGGCAAGTGCCCTCACCGTGCTGCCTCCCTACCTATCTCCTCCTGTGTGTATGTATGTGTGTGTGTATGTGTACGTATGTATGCATGTGGATGTGTGTATGTGTACGTACGTATGCATGTGGATGTGTGTATGTGTACGTGTGTGTGTGTCAGCGTGTGTGTGTGTATGTGTGTGTCAACGTATGTCAACGTATTCGTCCTCCTACCCTGATTCATAGGCTCCTCTTGCGCCCAAACAACGGACTTCAGATTCGGATAGATCTGGAGATCCTTGATCGCCAAGTCGAAGGGAAAAGGCGACAGCTGCTCAACGCGGGCGAGAGCAACTTTCCCCCCTGAGCAGTCCGTAAAGAGAGAGCGAAGGCTGCGTGAGCACGAAGCTACCCAAGAAAGCGAGGCAGCGCGCAAGACAGCAAGAAGCAGGCGACAGGAGGGAAGAAAGGGGGTAAAAGGAATATTAGAACGCAGCAGGCCCCATCTAAAAAGCAATTGCGTCGGGGAAAAGTAGCTTCTTGCCTGGATTGTCTGGTCCTGTCTCTTCGCTCCTGAGGCGCTCGCGTTCGGCGTGCAGATCATAGTAAATTTGACCACAGCACAAAATCAAGCGTTCGACGGCTGCTGGATCGGAAATCGACTCGTCCGGGATGTACCTGGCAGCAGTAACAGAAACGGGGGCAAAAGCGACATACATGCATATACATATATAGATGTAGATGTATGTATACATATATATACATGCTCACATCCCCACACCCAGACACATATATATATATATACATAAATATATGTATATGTATATATGGATATATTTATATATATACACACAGAATAAATATACATACAGATACTCACAGCTATACACACAGAATCTATATACATACAGATACTCACACCTGTACACACAGAATACATATACACACAGAATCCATATACACACAGACAATCACACCTATACACACAGAATACATATACATGCAGACACTCACACCTATACTCACAGAATATATTTACACACAGAATCCATATACATACGGACACTCGCACCTATACTCACAGAACATATTTACACACAGAATCCATATACACACAGACAATCACACCTATACACACAGAATACATGTACATGCAGACACTCACACCTATACACACAGAATCCATATACATACAGACACTCACACATATACACAGGGAATCCATATACACACAGACACTCACACCTATACACACAGAATCCATATACACACAGAATCCATATACATGCAGACACTCGCACATATACACACAGACAGTGTGAAACAGCGTGAAAAGGCCGTATATCCGCAAATCCGCAATTTACTGTCCAGTGCGACATTTGAAAAACTCTGCCACGCGAAGCGTAAATAAGGGCAGTCTTGCAAAGCCACATATATCAGGCGCCGAGCAAGACTTTGCGCTGCATGCCGCATGTCGGCGTGTTACCTTCGGAATCTGGTGCCTTCCATGATATCCATGAGCGAGCTCATCGCTTGACGCATGCGAAGCATGCGTTTCGGCGAGAAGACAACCAAAGGTTTTCTGAAGGCGCGATGAACTTGACGTCGGAGCACGTGGAAAGTGTTGGAAGGCACTGTGGGGACTACTACCTGCAGCAGGGGAGAAGAAGCGACACATGCAGACACACACGCACGCGCGCGAAAAATCGGGAAAAAAGGCAGGCGCGCAAACAACCCTGCAGAAGATTGTGTAGCCTGTGACACTGCGGCAAGGCCAGAAAGGAAGAAGGCTTCGAAAGAGGTGATGGTAGAAGGGCAGGAAAGCGCAAACACGCCGTGCGGCGCGGGTTCGCAACTTCAAGAAAGCAAGAAGCACACAGCAGGGATTGAGGCACGATCCGAGACGAGCCTCAGCGCGAGACAGAGAGGAAGCAGAAGCTAGCAAGCAAGCGGGGTCGTCAAGAAGAGAGGTGCTGAGGAGAGCAAATGTCGAAAAAGAATCGCACGCAGCTCGAGACAGCCCCTTCCCGTCTTCCAAGCCGCCAGCACTTGTGTCGATGCAAAACTGCGGCAGAAGCGTGCGAGAACAGCCTCGCTTCAACCTTGCCCTCCCTAATTCTCGTCCCTTCCTTCCCCCTCTCCTTTGTTGTCAAAAGCACACACAAATGTATCTATACACATACATACATCACACACAAGTCGTCGAACCTGAATGTTGTGCTGCTGAATGACGGACGACCGAGAAAGCTCCCAGTTCTCTTCGTGAATTACGTCCTCTCTGTCATCGCAAAGTTGCAGAAAGCGCTCGATGCGTGCAGAGGAATGCTCAGGCCCCTGTCCGTCATAGCCGTGTGGCAGGAGCAGCACAAGGCCTGAGGGTAGGCGCATAGAGAAGGAAGAAAAAACATCCCGTTGCTTTTCGTTTCTGCCAGCCATTCGAGGAAAGGAAAATTGCCGAGACGCAGGAGCAACGCACTCGTCGAAACCTCTAGACGCAGCCGCATGGGCAGGTGGGTTGGGTGGCGTAGTGTTGTGTTTTTTTCATGCATGCATGCATGCATGCATGAAAAGTGTGGTGTACGGTGTGTGCGACGGCGTCTTATGCCAAAAAGCTATTTTGAGGGCTGCGATGATTAGAAAAACACCTATCGCCATCCCTCATCACCCTCCTTCACCCCTATAACATGCGGAAGGCAGGCCTGAGCAGCTCGTTGGAAAAAGCTTTCCGCTTTGCACGTTGCCTCGCGCCCTACCGTTCTGCCGATTCCACTTGACTTCTGCAGAGGCAATAAACTGATCCGTGATAATCTGCGCGCCGTTGCTGAAATCTCCGAACTGCGCCTCCCATATGCTCAGCGTGTCTGGATGCTCCATAGAATAGCCAAACTCAAATCCTAAAGCTGTGCAACGCAGCCGCAAAGAGGAGCGAGAGGCTTTGTTGGCTTGCAGGGGGAGGGTAGTATTTAAGACAGACGGCAGTCACTCAAAAAAGGGTTAAAACACGAAATAGAAGACAGACGACGGTCATTCAAAAAGAGTAAAAACACGTAATCGAAGACAGACGACGCTTATTCAAAAAAGGGTAAAAACACGTAATCGAAGACAGACGGCGCTTATTCAAAAAAGGGTAAAAACACGGAATCGAAGAAAGACGGCAGTCATTCAAAAGAGAGTAAAAACATGAGATATGAGACAGACGGCAGTCATTCAAAAGAGAGTAAAAACATGAGATATGAGACAGACGGCAGTCATTCAAAAGAGAGTAAAAACATGAAATATGAGACAGACGGCAGTCATTCAAAAGAGAGTAAAAACATGAGATATGAGACAGACGGCAGTCATTCAAAAGAGAGTAAA